GAGGGGGAATTGCGTCGACGTAGGGGCCTGTGGATCTCCAAGACGCTAACTCCGAGGCCATAGCTGCTTTCCACTAAGATGCCCACGCCCCTGACACTGCCTCGCGGTAAGTACGAGGAGTCGGTATGTCAAGGGCGTCGGGGTCTCCCTCAGGGGATAGCAGCATGGCACAGACAGAGGGAGAAGAAACTGCCCAGTACTCCAGCTCAGACTCTCTGTCCTCTAGGACGTCACAACCAAGGGCAAACTCACCCCCAACGGATAGAGGACGGGAGGGAGGAGCTGGCACCACACGGGTGGTATAGTCAAGGCGACTGGGGGCAGCAAACACAGCGACAGCGGCAGTGAGAGCCGAGACAGACGACGGAGGGAAACGAGAAGTGGTGACAACAGTGGTGAGGACACGAGAGACAACAGGACGAACCGCGCGGTAGTAGTCAGTGACAGGAGTAGGGGGGAAAGGGAGAGAGGACGGAGGAGGAGACGGGAGAACGGACTCAAGAGGAGGACGACGAAGAGACGAACAAAGGAGGGCAGTGCGGAGGTCGGTAACGGGAGACGAGGGACAAGCACGCAGAGGACACGGACGGACACGAGAGTGTGGGACACCAGGTGGAGGAGACTGCGGTGGAGGAGAAGACCAGACCGCCGGATTGTCGTCAAGAGGAGGAAACGTGGGACCAAACGCTGGAGGGGACGGAGTGTGAACAGGAGGAGAGGAGGGAAGACCAAGGGCCCGAAGGCCACTCACGGGTGGGAACAACTGCCGCTCCAGAGGGAGCTACGGCGGCGGCGGTGGTGTCTGCTGCTGCGGCGGCGGCTGCTGCTGCTGCTGCTCCAGCAGGTCCATTTGCCGCAACTCCTGCCGCTCCCTCTCCAACAGCACCTGCTCCTCACGCTCACGCCGACGGGCCGCCTGGAGACGCGTGTCGTGGCGGTGGGGAGGCGGAGTGGACTCCGCAGAACCAGGGTCTCCAGCCCCAGACTCCTCAGAACCAGCACCTCCAGGGCCAGCGCCTCCAGCACCAGCACCCTCAGAACCAGCACCTCCAGCTCCGGCACACCCAGAACCAGCACCTCTTGTGCTAGGACCTCCAGCTCCAGCACCCCCAGAGCTAGCGCCACCTGCGCCAGCACCTCCAACTCCAGCACCCCCAGAACTAGCACCTCCAGTGCCAGCACCTCCAGCTCCAGCACCCCCAGAGCTAGCGCCACCTGCGCCAGCACCTCCAGCTCCAGCACCCCCAGAGCTAGCACCACCCGCGCCAGCACTTCCAGCTCCAGCACCCCTCGAACGAGCACCCCCAGACCGAGGACCGCCAGCGGCTGCACCTCCAGCTCCCACACCAACCGAGTCCATAGTAACCTGTCGCGGAGGTGCCGAAGGCTGCTGAGGGGACTGTGAGGAGGACTGCGGGGAGGGAGACGCGACCGGACGCGCGACCGAGGGAAGAGGGGTAGCGTGGGACACACCAGACGGGGCAGGACCAGGGGGGGGCGGGGGTACCGGATGAGCGGGAGCAGGAGGAGGAGAGGGTGCGAGGAAAAGAGGGGGAGGGGGTACCGGGAGACCTCGACAGGGGTACCGGGTGTAGTAAGACACAGACTCGTCAAACCGGATGTCACGGGAGTCTAGGAACTGGTGGAGGGGCGGGTGGTAAAAGGACCAGTCGGCAGAGTCCACTGGGAAACCAAGAAAGACACAGGGGACGGCGCGTGCCGAGAGCTTGTCCGCGGAGGTGTCGCGAACAAGCGCAAGGCAGCCCCAGACACGAAAGGCCGACCCAACACCAGGGGAACCGGTCCAAAGACTGGTCGGTGAAGCCTCGGGCCGTGAGACGCGCGGCTGGAGGTTCAGCTGGTGTGCGGCGTAGAGAACCGCGTAGGGCTACAAAAAATGGGGCGCACAGGCATGGATCATGGACGTGCGAGCAATGTCCATGACCAAGCCAATGCGGCGCTCAGCAACCCATTCTGCTGTGGGGACTCCGGAAGCGTCCAGGACTGTACGATGCCCTGTTCGCTGCAGAATCCGCCAAGAATGCCGGAGCGAAACTCGCCCCCACGGTCGGAGTGTAGATAACTGACACGACGACCACGAGTGCCCTCAGTAGCCAGAAGCCACCGGATCAGCGTAGCAGTCACCTCGGACTTCTTCGCGAGAGGGAACACTGTGGTGTACCTGGAGAAGTCGTCGACGACCACCAGAAATTAACGCTCCCTCCCAGAAGCCTGCGTCGGGGCAGGGCCCCAGACGTCCAAGTGGAGGGTCTCGAAGGGAGCAGTGGCCGGACGAAGGGAGGAGGAGTGGGGAGTGGCGCGTATGCGACTGGCGACGCAAGGAGTGCAAGGGGGAGCAGCGGAGGTGGGGAGAGACGGAAAGGTGCGTGGGAGACCGGTGACAAGCCCGTGAGTGGTCATCCCGCGGAGGCGGGGGATCGACGGGTGGCCAAGGCGGTGGTGCCACAAGACGGTCCGGTGGGTGAGGGACCGACAGGAGCAGGACGCAGCGACTGGACTAGACAGCGCGACCTGACTAGACACTGCAACTGGACAAGACACGACTACCTGGCTAGACAAAGCAACCGGACTGGACACCTGGACTGGAGGGGACGCAACGACCCGAGCGGAGGACGCAACCGGGGAGCGCGCGGTGTGGAGAACATAGAGACCGGAGCGGGGCTCCCTGGAGAACGTGGCCAGAACAGCACCTGTGGCAGCGTCTGTACAGACCGCAGTCCTCCCACCCCCCACAAAGGTAACCGTGATCCCCCTGTCCTGGAGGTAACCAACACCCACCAAGTTCTGAGTGAACGAGGGGATGTGGAGGCCGCGCAGGACACCAGAGGGGACCACAGGACACGGGAGGGTAGTGGAGCTACGCGCAACGGCTGATCTTGAGGTAGGATCAGCCAGAGCCACCGAAACAGGAATGAGGAGTGGCGTGAGGGTCGTGTGGTCGCGGAAGAAGCACTGAGACACACCAGAGTCCAGCGTGAAGGACAGGGACGCCTCAGCGGGAGGGTCACCTGTCCTAGTGGCTACACAAGCATCTAGAGCAGCAACACAAGCACCTAGACTAGAAAGGCACAAGTCTACACTAGCAGGAGGCAAGCGAGCTAGTCTACGAACACGCGAGCACACAGATCCATCAGCACTATAGTCAACATCAGCATACAAAGCATGCTGACGAGCATCGTCCATGGAAAGATCAAACACATCAATCTTACGGGCTAACAGGCGAGCCCAGCGAGGCGTGGTCGCCGTATGGCCCCAACGAGCACAGTAGAGGTCGTCGAGGCGGCGGAAGCACCGCGCGGCAGAGTGGTCGTCACGACCACAGAGACAGGGGCTGCCAGGTCCGGTGAGGCACCAGTGGGTGCAGGGGCCAGTGTCACGGCGAGGGGGGCGAGGGGCCCAGCTGGAAGTGATGCCGCTGCGGCCGATGCTCCCTGGTCTTCCCGGACCCCACTGCGGCGGGGGACCCCAGTGCTGCTGCGGACCCCACTGCAGTGGGGGCCCCCACTGCTGGAACTGCTGCGGTGCCTGCTGCTGCTGCAGTCCCTGCTGCTGCTGCTGTCCCTGCTGTGACTGGTGCTGCTGTGGCTGCTGCTGCTGGGGGCCAACACCCCCGCCGGTCGGGCCACCACCAGTGGGTGGGCTTGTCTGTCCTGCACCTCCGCCAAGGCCCCCTCGTCCTTGTGCACCACCGCCGCCGCCGCTGCCGCCGCCGCCGCCGCCGCCGCCTCCACCACCGCCGCCGCCGCTCCCACCTCCACCTCCACCTCCGCCGCCGCCTCCACCGCCTCCACCTCCCCCCTTCCCGCCCTTCTTGCCACCCTTGCCCCGTTTCTGCCAGTCTGCGGCGGAAACGGCAGCAGTGTCCTCAGAATCGACACAGCAGCAGAAGCGCGGGTTGCAGTGAAAGTGGGAAGCTGAGGGGCGGCACACCCCGCAAAGAGACGGGGGGGCACTGCGTTAGTGGCGGAGGCAACGGTGAGGAGACTACTTTCGATCGTCCCGAGAGCGGTCTCAAGGAGATCGATGGTGAGCTCAGTGGGGTGCTTCTGGAGAAGCGAGTCGCGAGCAGTGGTAAGGCGGTCAGGGAGGCGGGTGACTAACCAGTGCACAGTGAGCCACATGGGGGGGGGAGCAGCAAGAAACTGGGCGTCGGTACAGGCCGCACGGAAACCGGCGGCAAGTGAGCGGAGGTGAGTCACGAGGTCGGACACAGTCGCAAACGAGCCTAGGTCGGGAAACACGAACGGCATGAGGAGGCGACTGAGGGAGGCAGAGGAAGGGGTGGAATAGCGGGCAACAATAGCATCCCAAACCCCTTGTGTTGTCTCCACCTTGTCAAAGTGGGCGGCCTCAGTCGGGGGGAGAAGCTCCGACAGCGTGAGAGCTGCGGCAGCGTCACGGGAGAGCCACACGTCCCGTGCCAGGACCCGACGCTCGTAGTCCGCCTGGGCCGTAGGAGTCGGCTCCGAGGCAGTCGGCAGGGCGGCGGGGGACGGGGGGGCCTTGAGGGCACCAGACGCGTGGGCCCACAGAGTGGCGCCGTCCTGACGCTGGCTGGTAAGGAAACGCGTGGTCTGGCGCTGCCAGGTACCGAACTCTATCGGGCGTCCCTCCGCATCGAAACGAAGGCGACGAGACTCTTTAACGGAGGCCATGCTAGAGGCGGCCGGAGCTCGGCGGAGGCGGAGCTAAGAACGAGGAGGGAAGCCTAGGAGCGCCAGGTGTGGCGCGGTGTGAGACCGGCGGGGCTAGAGGCTAGGAGCACGGAGGGACCTAGTCTAGGCGTGAAACGGCGGAACTCCAGCTACATGCACTAGGGGCGAGGAACTAGCAGGAACACTGGTCTAACCTAGGTGGCCGGCGAAAGAAAGCGGCTGCCAGCCATTGAGGGCGAGACCAGTGGCAAAAGAGTTGTCTAGGGCCCCACGCGCAGGGCGGTAGTGGGGTTCGGGCGCGTGCCAATCGCGGGTGGGAACGGGCTAACGCGGAGGCGCGAGCCTAGGTGAGGGCGAGGGCACGGTGGGCTGGGGGGGAGGGCGCACGACGTTAGGAGAGGGCGGGGAGGAGGGTGCGCGATGGTAGGAAGGGGTGGGGAGGAGGGCACGATGGTGAGACAGGGGCGGGGAGGAGGTTGTCGACGGTGGGAAGGGGCGGGGAGGGGAGGGCGACGCGACGGGCAGGGGGGAAGGGAGGCGACGCGACGGGCAGGGGAAGGGGAGGCGAACGCGACGGGCAGGAGGAGGGGAGGCGACGCGACAAGCAGGGGGAAGGGAGGCGACGCGACGGGCAGGGGAAGGGGAGGCGAACGCTACGGGCAGGAGGAGGGGAGGCGACGCGACGGGCAGGGGGGAGGGAGGCGACGCGACGGGCAGGGGAAGGGGAGGCGAACGCGACGGGCAGGAGGAGGGGAGGCGACTCGACGGGCAGGGGGAAGGGAGGCGACGTGACGGGCAGGGGAAGGGGAGGCGAACGCGACGGGCAGGAGGAGGGGAGGCGACGCGACGGGCAGGGGAAGGGGAGGCGAACGCGACGGGCAGGAGGAGGGGAGGCGACGCGACGGGCAGGGGGAGAGGAGGCGACGCGACGGGCAGGGGAAGGGGAGGGGGGGGCGACGCGACGGGCAGGGGGAGGGCGCGACAGTGGGAGGGGCCGGGCTAGGCGCGCGTTGAGGGCGCGGAGGGCGCGGAGGGCACTAACGTGCGGAGGGCGCGGAGGGCGCGGAGGGCACGAACGTACGGAGGGCGCGGAGGGCACGGAGGGCGCGGAGGGCGCTAAGGCGCGGAGGGCGCTAAGACGCGGAGGGCGCGTGAGCGCGGAGGGCGCTAAGACGCGGAGGGCGCGCGAGCGCGGAGGGCGCTAGGGCTAGGCTAGGGCTAGGCTAGGGCTAAGGAACTCGAACCTACTATGATACTATCTTAAGAGTAGAATGCAACGGAATGATGAGTTTAGGAAACAAGGCAGTACAAATAGGTAAACCCTAACTGTGTTATACTCTCTACGGAGCAACTCACTACAACCTATCACAAATATCAACATTTGACAGATGGGTCTATAATTATCTAACTGATCCCGGTCCCCCTTCTTGTGTAACAGGATCGTGACTGCTTCTTTGAGCTCGGATGGAAGGAACGCCGTGATTGTTCGATCTTTCAATGTAAGCTTTCTAGATAGCAAATTATTACAATAGCTAACATCGTCATAAGGAAAGAAAGCTACCATTTACACTTCTCTCATGTATCTCTTATAAATACTTTCCTACCGCTAGCACAAGTGGGGACAACTCCAGCAGCAGCAACTTCTGACATCAGGATCAGACACATTTGAGCTTCATCTTGTGATGTCACCAATCGATTGACAGTGTGGATCCCGCCATCTGTCACCTGTCACAACAACACTGTCAGCCAATTTCCCGCCACATCAGTACTTCCCCTGCCCCTCCCGTCAAATTCATTCCGCCCATCCAGGGTTGCGCACATGCCCGTCCCCGCAGAGGGGGCGCTTGGATCCGCCGCTTCCCCTCACACCTCCATCAGCGCGCATGACACGAGGGCCCCCGTGAGCTGGGAGCACAAATCCCAAGGGTCTGCGGCAGGGTGTCCTGCTGCGTTCAGTGATCTCCACCAATCGGCATGCAGCCAAGTAGCAGTCTTATCAGAAATCTCCACCAATCGCTAAACAGCATTTCCTATCTCACCATCTGGCCGCGTCCCCAACCAAATGTACATCTGATGCGGCTTCATGCGGTCTGATACGTATTAACACGGTTTCTTTAGTATATGAATCGGCTGAGTCAGGTGTTAGTGGAACGAATGTTTCGGGAATCACAAATCACGATTCACTAGCGCTAGAATTGATGTCTGGTCTCGTGCTCTGTGATGTGTCTCTCTCCACCACATCTAAATGTTAGCTATCTTAGGATCTAGGGCTTGTTTCTCTCGTACGTTCTGAACCATCGCCGCTGGTCGCGGTTTTCCGTTTTTCCCAAGGATCACCTTCGCACATTGTAGTTTAGCTCTTAATTAAATCGCTGGGAGCTTGTACCCCCAGCTGGTCGTTTTAAATTTCCCATCCAGCATTTCCTTTGAGAACGACTCGTCCACCCGTCCAATTTCGTCTTCGACTTTCGCATATTCTCTTGCTGGTTGCAAGTTTAATCGCTGGTCTCTTCTCCAGAGCGACCACCATACCCTCTTCCAGGCTACAGTAATTTTCACAGACAACCATGGCAGCAGCATCAGTAGCGTCATCACTAGCCATTCAAACAGCAGCCGCGATTTCACATTTCACGGCTGCCGACATCTCCTCCTCCTCCTCCTCCTCCTCCTCCCGCCGCGCGCGCTCTTCATCTTCGCGCAGCCATCGGCCCTTGTCGAAAGCGACGCCTTCCCTTCTAACTGTCCGTTACCACAGTCAGTCAAATGTATCATCGCGTTCGCTTCCCCGCTCTCGGTTAAGCCCCTGCGCGGCGTTCACGGGAGGCGGAGGAAGTGGCGGGGATAACATCGGCGGAGGATGGGGGAAGGGCGGTGGCGGTGGCGGGAGCGGCGGAAGTAATGGTGGTGGCGGAGGAAACGGGAGCGGAGATGGAGATACGGGTCCGAACGACGAATATGGTGGGATTAGAGGCCGCTTGGTGGTGGCTGTTGCAGCCGCTGCAGCAGCGATAACGTTATCGTCGTCAGACGAGCTTCGTGCGCGAGCAAGCAATCCGCTATTCGCCTCAGTCTCCGCTTCCGCTTCCGCCGCCGGTCCCCCCGCCAGCGCAGCGAAACCTTCCGCGACGTCCGCCGAGGCGGATAACGCGAAGGGGAACCCGGCAGAGGTCGCCGTTTCCCCGTCCTCCGCCGGCTCTTCGCGTCCGTCGAACCCCCGTACTGCCGAGCTTAACGGAGACGATGACGGATTCGGGGTGACGGACTGGCTGGGCGGCGCTTTGTACGCGTTATTGTCGAAGCACGTGGACCGGCAGATGAAGCGGCGCGTAGAGGCGGAGAGGCAGCAGGTGCTGGCGGAAGCGGCGGACATGGTGGCGGCGGTGCTGGAGGAGAAGAAAGCGCGCGAGAGCGAAGACCCCGTCGCGCACCGCTCTGAGGTATTGTTAAGGGCTGAGGTGCCAGGGGCTTAGGACGAGGCTTCTATTGTTCAGAGGGATGAGTTGGGCAGTTTGTTATGATTAAGGGATAAAAACAGGGTGATGAGAAAGGGGTGATGGGGGATGATTGGGGGCGTGAAGATGGAAACGTGGAATGGTCGAGAGGGTTCGCACGGATGGGTAGGTGACGTTTGAGTCGTTTGAAAAAAGAAAGAAAGAAAAAAAAACACTTCGGAGGAAGAGGCTACGTGTGAGGGAGGCAACGTTCAATGACTGGAGAGGTCATAGAGAGGGTCGGCCAATGTACGTTGCCTGTCACAATGCATTGGGTTTGGGAGAATTCATAGGGACGGCCATCGGATGAAGTAGCGCGTGTGCCAACCGCACAGCATGCCGCGTTTGCTGCAACGTAAAGAACCGAGAGAGGAAGGAAAGGGAACAGCAGCAACCACAGCGATGCAGTGCGCGATGCGAGGCCTATCGCTGAACGTCTCAAATGTCCCCTCCCTCCCCCTCATCTCCCGCATCCCCCTCATTCCCCTGCTCGTCGCCCTCTCCCCTTCCTCGTCCTGCCAGGTGGGAGCTCTCCGCCGGCTTCAGCGCGAGGCCTTTCAAGACCTGCTGCGTGTCAAAGACTCCATGCACACGCTTCAGATCGTCACCGTTCTGACGCTTGACTCCACTGTAATGTCTTCCCCCTCTCCCTCATACCAGGTGGGAGCACTTCGTCGGTTGCAGCGCGAGGCCTTTCAAGACCTGCTGCGTATCAAGGACTCCATGCACACGCTTCAGATCGTCACGGGTCTCCGCCGCGACCCCCCGCGCGGACCCAACGCGCGCGCGTCCCTCTCCGCCAGCAGAATCGGCGCCGCTGGCGGCGCTGCGGGGAGCGCGGGGGCGGGTGCCGGGGGGGTGACCGGCGGGGGAGCGGGAGCGGGGCTGGGGAGAACGAGGCTGGTGGGGGAGGTGTCCGGGGGGGCGGCGGTGGTTCCTGGCGCGGACGGGCCTAGGGGGCACTCCGCGCGCGCAGCGCTGGAAGAGGCGGGAATGCGGTCAGGCCTGCTGGTAAAATTCAAGTTTGAAACTCTGTGCCGCGCAGCGGATCTGCTTATAACGGAGCTGACGGCGGGGTTGGGCGAGGACAGCAGTAGCTTCATGCTGGGAGGCCCGATTAATCTGCACAAGGTGGTGTATAGCGCGGAGGTGGCGGACGGCGTGAGGGTGATTGCGGCGCCCGTGGGAGCCACGGGCACGGATATTGCCGAGTCCATGAACCCTCTCAAGGTGCGTGCTGTGTGCGTGTTGGCGTGATGTGAGTGGCCTTGTTCTTCCTGAACACGCGAGTGCGGTCTTTCCGTTCTAACCCGTCCCGCCCATCCCTATCCATGCAAGCCCTGCCTTTCTCCCTACGTATCTCGAAACGGATTAACAAACTCCTTGGTCCCTGCACCCTCCCGTCCCATCCCACCCGTCCCAACCCTCCCCCTCCCAACACCCCCTCCCCCCCACCTCCCCATCCCACCCGTCCCCAACCCTCCTCCCAACCCCCCCACCTCCCCATCCACCGGTCCCCAACAGAACCAAGGCCTGACTCGCTTCGCGTCAAACGGCATTCCCCTGCATCAGCGCGCCAAGGGCACAGCTCTCGGCCTCTCCCTAGCTAGCTCCTCCGCCTCCTTCTCCATAGCCCAGTTCCTGCACGGATGGGGAGTCACACCCGATGCTGCAGAGGGTGGCGATGCCAGCGCTGGCCTCTGCTCCTCTTCTATGGTCCAACTCGCGCTTCAGCCTCAGGATAATGTGCTCCTTTCCTTCTCGGCTCTCCGGCGCGTCTGGCCGGCTCCCCCGCTCCCGTCGGCGCCGGGCCTGCATTGGTCCGAGCTCGGCCCGATGGTGCTCCCGAGGCTGCTGCCGTGGTTCGGCGGGAGGTCCGGGGGCGTGGTTGGGGGGAAGGAGGATCCTACCCGGGCTGCTCCGGCGGGAGTGGATGAGTATTCTGGGAGTGAAGGGAGGGAGCTATGGCTGCCACCGCCAATGGACCCTACTATTGTACAATCGGTGGCAGTGGCTGGTGCTGTGAGGCTGAATGCGAGGACGACTATTGCTGCATGGGCACAGGCAGAAGGTGGGGAGTGGGTTCCTGAGGAGGCTCAGAAGCGGTTGCAGTGGTCTCTCTCCCTGCTGCGGCAAGGGAAGGGCGAGGCCGGGGAGGAAGAGGAGGAGGGAGAGGAGGAGAGTGGGGAGGCTGGAGAGGAGGGGGAGAAGCAGGAGGTGCGACGGGGGGGAGCAGCAGCAGCAGAAGCCGCAGCAACGGGAGAGGGGAGTGGAGACGCGAGTGGGGAGCCAAAGAAGCGGCAACCAAAGAAGAAGGGAGGCTGGGGCGTGTGGAAGACACTTGACAAGGCTGGCTACGGCCTGTGCTTGGGGATCATGCAACCAGACGCGGTTACAGCAGCAGCCGGGCCAAGCTCGAGCGGGAGCGGTAGCGGCGGCATGGGAGCGGTCGCAGGAGGGGGTGGGGAGGGGAACGGAGGGGTGGGGCATGGAGGGTTGCTACCCGGGCAGCTTCAGGCAGAGGCGTTTGCAAGGGTGCCGTGTGGGCAGGGGGTGGTGCTGCAGCCGGGGATAGTTGTTGCAGTGAATGAGCATTCAGGGTGTCACCCTGCCCTCATGCTCCGCACCTCGTGGTCTCTCTGAGCGTTCTCTTGGAGTTTGGTCCCTTTCCCAGCGGTCTCTCTTCAGTGTGGTCGTGCTGAGCGTGCAAGACAAGCGTCAATGCAGCTGGCGTTTATCACCTTTCTCCTTGTTCGGTCTGCCTTTTTTCGTATGACTGGGTGTTTTTGTGCTTGATTGGACTGCTTTTCTCTCCTGTGTTGTGTGGTTATTGCAGCAAATGCCCACACTGGAAGGAGTGTGTGAGAGAGAGACTGTGTTTCTGTGTGTGGAAGGGTTTGGTTTGTTCCTTAAGTTAGGGAGAAACTATATGAATGAGAGGCTGAGTAGTGTGTACGGGTTCATAGGAGTGCACAGCGGTGAGAGGGTGGAAGGCAGGGGTTGGGGTTGGGGGAGGGAGTGGGGAGGAGACTTCAGGTGCTGTTGCTACCGCAATTAGCAGGAGCAGGAAGGCTGCTCCTAGTGTGCAAGGATCTGGTTTCAGAGTCTGGTTTTCCTTCTGGCTCTAGGGATATTATATAATAGGCTTCCTTGGTGAGAGTATTTAAAACTACGGTAGTACTTCTCTATGCTGCACCCTGCGTGCTCACTCCTGGTTGACCAGGCCGCCTTTCCTGCACGGGTGTCATTGTACGCCTTGCTCTGTCGTTGAGACTTGTCCTATTCCTGTAAGCTAAGGCCGTTCACGGTTGATTTGCAGCATTCATACATATAGCTGTCAAACATAGCTACTAACCTAGGAGATTAGGTTTAGCCATAGGAGGAGTTACGAGAGGCACGAGCAGGAGGGAATTGGCCAAAAGAGGGTCTGCACTATAGGGTTTGGAGTACATATAGGCAAGAAGCAAAGGGTCCACCACCAACAGTTTATAACAAAAACTACATTAACTACAGCAAGTAGGATATAACATAAACATAGCTTTGACACACCCCCTTATCCTGCTTGCGGTAGGAATTAGTGCAGTCAACACCCCCTGAAGGGATGAACAAGGTGCAGCGGAAGACGTCAGAGGGTGGTAAGTGATGGAAACGAGGCAAGAAAGGGAGAGGAGAGGAGAGGAGTACTGAGGGGAAGGTAAGAGAGAGAGAGATGAGGACATGAGGTGGGGGGTGGCCGCGACGAGACGGGACGGAACAGGAGGCCGCGACGTCCCCGCTTACGAACCCCCTTTTACAAAGAGGGGGGGGAGGAGTGAGGGAAAAGGAGAGAAGGTGGGGGGCCATGCATGAGTGTACCAACTCCATGCCTGCGATCCCTCTTAATAACCTTCAGCACTCAACTCAACCACCCCCCTTTAACCTCACCCCTTGAATCTGCCGTCCTGTCAATTCTCACCCTCACCCTCCTTTCACCTTCACATACCCGCCACCCTCTCATCACCCCCCCCCCCCGCCACCCCCTCATCTCCCCCCCCCCACGGCAGAAGCCGCCGAAGGAAAGGGGGGGGCGGCGTACGGAGCTGCTGGCGCTCGGGGATGACGCAGGCGCTGGCGCTTCGCGGCTGGCGCAGGTGCTGGCGCACGCGCTGGCGCCGGTCGCTGGCGCTCCGCGCTGGCGCTGGCGCTTACGACGGGCAGGGCGACGGGCGCGACGAGCAGGGGACGGGACGGGCAGAGCGCGGGGCGCGACGGGCGACGAATGCGACGGACGGGACAAGCCGCGCGTGGGCAAGACGGGCTGCGCGTGGGGCAAAACGTGCTGCGCGTGGGGCAAAACGAGCTGCGCGCGGGGCGCATCCGGCTGCGTGACGAGAAGGTCCATGTCTATTAAAAGGACAGGAAGGTTCCAGGATGGAACCAGCTCTGACACCATGTCAAACATAACTACTAACCTAGGAGATTAGGTTTAGCCATAGGAGGAGTTACGAGAGGCACGAGCAGGAGGGAATTGGCCAAAAGAGGGTTTGCACTGTAGGGTTTGGAGTACATATAGGCAAGAAGCAAAGGGTGCACCACCAACAGTTTATAACAATAACTACATTAACTACAGCAAGTAGGATATAACATAAACATAGCTTTGATAATAGCATGCTTTGCAACATTCATTCGTATAGTTTTATGAACATATAATTTTTAGGGTTTGTATGTTCGAGGTGTAGATATATACCAGGATAGTACGGTACACTCCTCCGATTTGAATACACCCTTGGATTTTCTGGCATGCCCAGTGACTGGATCATGTCAGGAAGTCGCGGCGAATCAGCAGAGTCATAAGCCCTGAGGGTGCATTCTTGGCTCGTGTCTGACATGAGGTCAGACACGAAGTGAAGTTGAGGAAGACCCGGAGTGACCTGGAACTCTGGCAAATCAATGTTCGGAAGACCCGAAGTGGGCCACTTCGGGTCTTCCGAACCTCCATCCAAACCTCCACTTCGTGTCTGACACGAGGTAGGAATGTACCCTGAGTTTTAAACAGAACGCACGGGGAAATCCGTGTCAGTAGAGCTGCACTGTGAGATCCCCGATCGATCCCAGGGGGGGTTACATGCGCGTTTGCCTGGCGGGTTATGGGCGCACGGACCCGCTACACAAACAAGCCCTTTCATCCCAATGGTCTAGTGGTTGGGATTCTGGCATGGTATCAGAGCGGTCTCGGGTTCGAATCCCGGTGTTTGCACATGTAGGCCGTTGCCGCTGTGCTCAGTCCTGGGCCTCCCAGTGTGGGGGGGTGTCAGTAGAGCTGCACTGTGAGATCCTCGATCGATCCTAGGGGGGGTTACATGCGCGTTTGCCTGGGGGGTTATGGGCGCACGGACCCGCTACACAAACAAGCCCTTTTATCCCAATGGTCTAGTGGTTGGGATTCTGACAATCCGTAGCTATGAGCTTCTCCATTCACCTCAATTTACTCCACTTCTGTCTCCCACCTGGTACCGAATGCAAAGTGGACGCATGACTTTTAGGGATTCCCACACTCTCCTCATACTGCTTGGTCGACCTTGCTCACAGAATACCCCGCCTTCGGTCTGTTTTCCTTCATGTTTAATATACCGAGTAAGACGACCACGAAAACAGAACACGTTCTCGTAAACATTTCAGCAGTTCGCTGTGTGTTCCGCGAAACACACAACCAGTTACAGCTCAACTCGTTGTCGGTGTACGAAACGGAGAGCCAATTGGCGGGACGAGGCTCTGGTAGCCGTTGCAGGTGTCAGAGGGTGTGAGAGGAAGACTCCAATTCCAACCTGCTCCCATCAGACCTTCCTCCCGCTTTTCCTCCCTTCCCATGGGTGTCGTTGCCTGAGACCCATTTCCTTGGCCATTAAAGCCCGAGTACAGCATGGTATTTTTCAAGTTCAAGATTCTTGAACTTGAAGTCACCAAAAACAGGGTTACCCTCTTTAGTTTGAAAGAACTCTCGCGACCTAGGGAAAACTTCTTGCGACGGTCGCTCCTGATTGGTTTCTGTGCCCAGTCGCACAACAGATCCGAACATCGCCCACAAGGTTGCCGTGCTCACCTCTCACATAACTACTAACTAGATTAGGCACGTAACTAGGAAACGCGCGGCCAGGGGAAAAAAGCCAGTTCAGGTAGAGGCGTCTTTTTCCAACCAGCTCTAGTCACTCACGATGTCTTGCCAATAGAAGAGCAGCACACCTTCGGAGCCAAACACGCTATAACCGTATCAGCGTCGCAAGCTAGATACGCAACGTCCGTGCTAGCGAACGACACGCAGATGTAGGTAAATGGCATGAGTTGCCATACTTGCCCAGTATAGGATGTAGATGGCGGGTTACCCTCGTTCAATTTGCGTAAGGAAGCGTTGCGCGCGCTTCTTCTCGCCGCCCACACTTGCGAGGTTCACGATATCTACCACACGTCACCCGCGCATCCCCTCGTTGCCCGCGCTTCACCGTCGCGCTTCCTCTCGTCGCCCGCGCTGTACCCTCGTCACACTCGCTTCCTACCCCAACCCTCGTTTCCGCTCGTCGCGGTTGTAGGCAAAAAGAGTCCTTGTCTCCCGAAAGTGCAACACCTGCAGCCCCAATCCTACCCCTCGTCGCACGCGCTGCTCCTCGACGCCCTCGCCTCTTTATTTCGGTGTGCCTTCTCCTCGTCGCCCCCACCTCTTTATTTCGCACGCGCACTTTCCCGTCGCCCCCGCCTCTCCCTTTCGCGCGCGCTTCCTCATACCCGCATTCATCCCCCCCCATATACGATTCCCCCCAGTAAATTCCGTCCACCCTCCCTCTCTTCCTCCCTCCATCTCTCCCTCTCCCCTCTTTTTCTCTCTCCATCCGTCCCTCTCTACCTTGCTCTCTACCTTTCTCCCTCTGTCCCTCTCTCCCTCTCCCTCTCTTCCCTCTCTCGCTCTCTTGCCTTTATCCCTCTCCTCCCTCTTTCGCTATCTCGCTCTTTCCCCAATAACGACTCTCCCTTTCTCCCTCTCCTTCCTTCCCTCCCTCTATCTCTCTCCTTCCTTCCCACGGTCAGAGGGGAAAGGGCAAGGGGGATAGGAAGAAGGACAGATGGGGAGAGACAGAGGGGGAAGGAACAGGGGGGAGGACAGAGGGGGAGAGACAGAGGGGGAAGGACAGAGGGGGAGAGACAGAGGGGGAAGGACCGAGGGGGAGAGACAGAAGGGGAAGGACAGAGGGGGAGGTACAGAGGGGGAGGGGCAGAGAGGGAGAGACAGAGGGGGAGAGCGTTTACTTCCCTCACTCGGGGTCCCCGTCGCTCTCACTTCCCCCGAATTGTTTACACCCCTCTTTATCTTGCCCGACCTCCCTTTCTCCCACCAGCTCTATTTACCCCCCAACCTATTCTCCTTTGCCTCACCTGCTTTCCCCCTCCCTCCTCCATGCTTCCCCACTCCCTCCTCCCTGCTTCCCCCCTCCCTCCTCCCTGCTTCCCCCCTCCCTCCTCCCTGCTTCCCCCCTCCCTCCTCCCTGCTTCCTCCCTCCCTCCTCCCTGCTTCTCCCCTCCCTCCCCCGTGCTTCCTCAATCCCTCCTCCGCGCTTCCCCCCTCCCTCCTCCCTGCTTCCTCCCTCCCTCCTCCATGCTTCCCCCCTCCCTCCTCCCTGTTTCCCCCCTCCCTATGCCCTGCTTCCCCCCTCCCTCCGCCCTGCTTCCCCCCTCCTTCTGCCATGCATTCCCCCTCCCTCTGCCCTGCTTCCCCCACCCTCCGCCATGCTTACCCCCATCCACAGATAGGTGAGCGCCACACACCAGGTGAGCCATCGCTTTCCCCATGTGCCTCTCCTCTCCCTCCCGTGTACCCCTCCTCTCTCGGGCACACCCTTTGTCTCCACTCCCACCTGCTCCTGCTCCTTCCCTCTCCACAATCCCATGCCTCCATTTTCCCCGCACACACCGGCATTCCCCCCCACAGACCGCCCTCCGTGCAACCCACATACATCCCTCCTTCCATCCTCCCCTTAACCCTCTCTTTCTCTCCGTGCAGCATTTCTCTTTTTCTCTCCCTTTCTCCGTTTCTCCCTTTCTCCCACTCGCACTTACTCCTCTCACTCTCTCTCCTTCCCACCCTTTCTCTCCCTCTCTCTTTCCAACCTGCACTTCCTCCCTCATTCTTTCTGAGGGGATGGGACAGAGGAGGAGAGACAGGGGCGGAGGGACAGATGGGGGGAGAGACAGAGGGGGGAAGGGACAGAAGGGGAGGGACAGAGGGGGAGGGACAGAGGGGGGAAGGGACAGAAGGGGAGGGACAGAGGGGGAGGGACAGAGGGGGGGAGGGATCGATGGGGTGAGTGCCAGAGGTGGGGGAAAACAGAGGGGGAGGGAAAGGAGGGGGGAAGGACAGAGGGGAAGGGACAGAGGAGGGGGACAGAGGGGGGGAGGGTTAGAGGGGGAGGGACAGAAGGATAGGGACAGGGGGGGGGAGACAGAGAGGGGGAGGGACGGAGGGGGGGAGGGTATCGTTCCTGCCTTTTCCCATTTGCCCTCTCCCGAAGAAAACCTAGTCTCCCATCACGAGGTGAGTGCCCACTCCATTCCCCTCCGTTTCCCATCGTTGCACTCTGTTCCCCTTCTTCCTTTCCTGGTTTTCCCCCCTGCATGCCTCGCTTGCCTCGCCTTCTGTTTCCTGCCTTCCCACCTTTCCACCTTGTCTTCCCATCTCTCGTCCCTTTGTTTCCACTTCAAGCAGGACTGGTAGTTGGGGCTCAGAGGAGTTTGGCTGCGTAAGGGCGCAGCAGCAAGCACAAGAAAGTTAGAGCAGAGGACATATTTTACAAGTTGCATACCTGAATGCTATGCGTAGTTGCATCATGTAACAATGCTTTATCCAGAGATGCAAAAGAAGGTACCACTGCAAGGTCCAGATGTTATCTACGTATCAAATTTTGCATGCACAGAACGTCTTGAATAAACTGATGTAATATGCAAAGGATCGTTTGATTGATACAATAATGCCACAAACAAGCAGGAGCCCCCCTCTACTTATTTGGTTCGACCAAGCTGCAAAGAGCACCACTCAAGAACAAGAACAAGACGGTTGGATGTCATTTCTGTTGTGCTGTCAAGGCCCAAAAACCAGAAAGGAGAGGAGAAACAGAGGGTAAACTGGAGAGGAAGGAGGGGTGAGTAGGGGGGAGGATGGCGAGCACGAGGAAAGGTAGAGTAAGCAAGGAAGAAGCATAATGGACAGCAGGGGGGAGAATGAGGGGAAGCAGGGGAGGAAATGAGGGGAAGCACGGGAGGAAATGAGGGGGAAGCAGGGGGGAAAATGAGGGGAAGAAAGGGGGTAAAGTAAATGAGGGGAGGCAAGGGAGGAAAGGCGGGACAGAGAGGAAGGGGGGAAGGGCGGTAGAGAGGAAGGGAGCAAGTGAGGAGATTGGACGAGGGAGGGAACAAGGGGCTAGAAGGGAGGGAACAAGGGGCTAGAAGGGAGGGAAGAGGGGGCTAGCATGGGGGGAAGCAGGGGGGGAAAGGAGGGGAAGCAGGGGGTAAAAGGAGGGGAAGCAGGGGGTAAAAGGAGGGGAAGCAGGGGGGGGAAGGAGGGGTGAGCAAGGGGGGAAAGGAGGGGAATCAGAGGGGGAGAGGAGGGGAAGCAAGGGGGAAAAGGAGGGAAGCATGGGGGGAAAGGAGGGAAGCATGGGGGGAAAGGAGGGGTGAGCAAGGGGGGGAAATGAGAGGAAGCAAGGGGGGGAAAGGAGGGGAAGCAAGGGGGGGAAAGGAGGGGAATCAGGAGAATCCGCGCCTCATCCCCTTCCGCGCCTCATCCCCTTCCGCGCCTCATCCCCTTCCGCGCCTCATCCCCTTCCGCGCCTCATCCCCTTCCGCGCCTCATCCCCTTCCGCGCCTCATCCCCTTCCGCGCCTCATCCCCTTCCGCGCCTCATCCCCTTCCGCGCCTCATCCCCTTCCGCGCCTCATCCCCTTCCGCGCTTCATCCCCTTCCGCGCCTCATCCCCTTCCGCGCCTCATCCCCTTCCGCGCCTCATCCCCTTCCGCGCCTCATCCCCTTCCGCGCCTCATCCCCTTCCGCGCCTCATCCCCTTCCGCGCCTCATCCCCTTCCGCGCCTCATCCCCTTCCGCGCCTCATCCCCTTCCGCGCCTCATCCCCTTCCGCGCCTCATCCCCTTCCGCGCCTCATCCCCTTCCGCGCCTCATCCCCTTCCGCGCCTCATCCCCTTCCGCGCCTCATCCCCTTCCGCGTCTCATCCCCTTCCGCGCCTCATCCCCTTCCGTGCCTCATCCCCTTCCGCGCCTCATCCCCTTCCGCGCCTCATCCCCTTCCGCGCCTCATCCCCTTCCGCGCCTCATCCCCTTCCGCGCCTCATCCCCTTCCGCGCCTCATCCCCTTCCGCGCCTCATCCCCTTCCGCGTCTCATCCCCTTCCGCGTCTCATCCCCTTCCGCGTCTCATCCCCTTCCGCGTCTCATCCCCTTCCGCGCCTCATCCCCACCACGCGCCTCATCCCCACCACGCGCCTCATCCCCACCAGATAAATTAGGTTTTATGCCAGCGTGCGTTTTTTTACGCCATCCTGGACCGTTCAACGACGAATTTCGCGATTTCACGTGAATTTCCGTTTTTTGGACGTCATTCTTCGCTGTACTTCGCCAAACTCCCCTGTTCTGCGTCATTTGCTGCTGCTCAAGGTAAAATTTCGCTTCGGAACGGATAATTCCCTTTTTATGTCTATTCCAGTTTCGCTATCTCGCAGTTTCCGTGAAGTTAGCTCATGTCGCGGCGAAACACAGTACCATCTCGTGAGCATCTGAAGCAATCCGCGGATTCTCGCTGTTCAGCGTCAGCCTTCGCGACTCCGCCATCCGTTAGACTTGTCGTTAGATTCTTCCGTGAACATGTGAACGTAAGGCGTCGAGATATCTTTTATTCCGCGACAGTCTGTGAATCCGCAAGTTTTTTTTAGAAGCATTTCTAACTCCCTGTGGCGCGTTACTTGGCAGGCACAATCCGAGGTATTCGAGCAGTCCAGTTCCAGGCACTTCGAGCAGTCCAATTCGACGCCATTCGAGCAATCCAAGCCATCAACCACACGCTGTTCACCATCCGCGCTACATGCATGGCGAACCAAGGTAGCAACCCCGTTCCCTTCCTCATCTCGTTCGCAACGCATTTTCCGCTGTCGTTTTCCACTGGCGGCTTGAGTTTTCTTTCGGTTTCTCACACCGTGTGTGTCCGTTGGTGCAGGAAACTCCATTCGCGTGTGGCGACGCGAGAGAATGGGAGAGGGTGTCACAGGTGCGCGTAGCAAGAGGAGCGCGGGCAGCAGAGAGACAGGATTAAGAGAAGGCGAGCGCCTTGGTTCAGCTGGTACGAGGTCTCGTGGGTGTGCGTGCGACTGCAGCAGTCCGTTACATGCACTTTCTGCACTCGTCGCTCTCTCTTTACTCCACTCGTCTTTGCTTCTTTCCTCTGCTTCCCCACTCCTCTGCTCCCCTTTCACTTCCCCATTCTCTCCTCTCGCTCCTCCCTTCCTCTCTCTGTCTCGATCTGCCTCCTCTCGTCCCAGCAGGTTGCTCACACGGGAGTGGCAGTGGCGGGGGACATGGAGTGCACAGGCAGCAGTTGCTTTCCACCCAACGCACCTACAGCTAAGTACCCCGCCCTTCCTCTCTTCTCCCAACCTCGCACTGTGTTACATTTCATGTCATGCTTGCACCATGCATCACACTCCCTTTTTCACTGCTCTTTGTCACACCCATTAGACCTCCCTCCCCCAAGGTCGTAGGTATATGTTTTCTTGGTAAAGCCTCAGGTATTCGTTTTAGTTCGGTTCAGCTTGTACGAGGTCTCTTGGGTGTGCCACTGCAGCAGTCCCTTCATACACGCATTATTCTTGCACTCGCTGCACTCTTCACTTTCACTTGTCTTGGCTTCTGTCCTCACTGCTCTCCCCACTCCTCTGCGCCCCCTTCACTTTCCCGTTTTCTCCCCCTTCTCCTCCCTTTTCTCCCTCTGTCATCTGCCCCCTCTTGTCCCAGCAGGTCGCTCACACGGGAGTGGCAGTGGCGGGGGACATGGAGTGCACAGGCAGCAGCTGCTCTCCACCCAACCCACCCACAGCTAAATACCCTGCCCTTTCTCTCTGTTCAAGTGCTGCCCTCTGTCGCACCCAAGAGACCTGAACCTCCCTTCAAACCTGAGCCTCTGGTCGTGCTACAACTTCAAGCCACATACCCCTTTTTTTTGGTAAACCACCCCTGGTACAGGTATCCTCTCAGGTTCCCTTTGATTCTGTGGCTTGTAGCTGAAGCTGCACCAGTGGCCCCCTTTCCTGCTGTTACCTGCCACCCCGCCCCACCCCACCCCACCCCACCCCACCCATGCACACCCTTCACATTGTCATCTCTACCCGCTTACTCACTTGTCTTCAGTTCTCTCCTTGCAGGTGGAGGGGAGGGGCGTGGGGGTCAACACCGCCACTCCCCCGCACCCCTCCCCTTGTGGCCGTGCAGGTGGCAGTGGTGGGAGGGGAGGGGGGCAGCACTCCACTCGGCTGGGATGGGATGGGAGAGTATCGGGATGGGGTCGTCTGGAACAAGGTGAGCCTCTTTTCCCTCGTGCACTCATGCTGCTGCTTGGTCTTCTCCCCATGCTCACTTTTCTTTCTTGCTCTCTCCCTGCCTTCACGCTTCTCCCTGTTCTCACTGCTGTCTCTTGATCCCCTGCCTCCCTTTCTCTCCCCTCCCTCTTCCCTCACCCCCAGAGCATTGAAGGCTGCAGCAGCGCGGCAGCAGGGCAGCAGGGGGCAGCAGGGGGGCAAGCAGCAGAGCATCAGCGGAGGGGAGGGGAGGGGCAACGGCAGCAGCAGCAGAAGCAGCAGCAGTCGGGGCTGGGGGGCAGCACTCCACTCGGCTGGAATGGAATGGGATGGGAGAGTATCGGGATTGGGTCGTCTGGAACAAGGTGAGCCTCTTTTCCCTCATGCACTCATGCTGCTGCTTGTTCGTCTCCCCATGCTCACTTCCCGTTTTTTCTCCCTTGCTTCCTTGTAGCTTCTGCCTTCTCTTCTCCCCATTCTCACTGCTGTCCCTTGATCCCCTGCCTACCCCTGCCTTGCTCCCTCCCTCCCAGTACATTGAAGGCTGTAGCACGGGGCAGCAGCAGGGCAGCAGCGGAGGGGAGGGGAGTGGAAGCGGCAGCAGCAGGGGAAGCAGAGTAGCAGACCGGGAGTGGCAGTGGCGGCTGACATGGAGTGCACAGGCAACAGCTGCTCTCCACCCAACCACCTACAGCTAAGTACCCCGCCCTTCCTGTCTTCTCCCAATCCTCGCACTGTGTTGCTTTGCTTGTCATGCTTGCACCATGCATTACACTCCCTTTTTCACTGCTCTTTGTCACACCCATTAGACCTCCCTCCCCCAAGGTCGTAGGTATATTTTTTCTTGGTACAGCCTCAGGTAGTTGTTTTAGTTTGGTTCAGCTGGTACGAGGTCTCTTGGGTGTGCCACTGCAGCAGTCCATTCATGCACGCATCATGCTTACGATTGCTGCACTCTTCACTTTCACTTGTCTTGGCTTCTTCCCTCACTGCTCTCCCCACTCCTCTGCGCCCCCTTCACTTCCTCATTCCCCCCCCCTCCCCTTCCTCCCTTCCTCTCTCTGTCCCGACCTGCCCCCTCTTGTCCCAGCAGGTCGCTCACACGGGAGTGGCAGTGGCGGGGGACATGGAGTGCACAGGCAGCAGCTGCTCTCCACCCAACCCACCCACAGCTAAATACCCTGCCCTTTCTCTCTGTTCATGTGCTACAACTTCAAGCCACAGACCCCCTTTCTTTTGTAAACCACCCCTGGTACAGGTATCCTCTCAGGTTAAGCCTCCCTTTGAGTCGTGGCTTGTAGCTGAAGCTGCACCAGTGGGCCCCTTTCCTGCTGTTACCTGCCACCCCACCCCACCCCACCCCACCCATGCACACCCTTCACATTGTTACCCCTAGCCGTTTACTCACTTGTCTTCAGTTCTCTCCTTGCAGGTGGAGGGGAGGGGCGTAGGGGTCAACACCGCCACTCCCCCGCACCCCTCCCCTTGTGGCCGTGCAGGTGGCAGTGGTGGGAGGGGAGGGGGGCAGCACTCCACTCGGCTGGGATGGGATGGGAGAGTATCGGGATTGGGTCGTCTGGAACAAGGTGAGCCTCTTTTCCCTCGTGCACTCACGCTGCTGCTCTGTCTTCTCCCCATGCTCACTTCCGTTTTTTGCTCCCTCCCTACCTTCATGCTTCTGCCTGCTCTTCTCCCGACTCTCAGTGCTGTCCCGTGATCCCCTGCCTCCCTCCCTCTCCCATCCCTCCCAGAGCATTGAAGGCTGTAGCAGCGCAGCAAGGGGCAGCAGCAGGGCAGCAGCGGAGGGGATGGGAGGGGCAGCGGCGACACCAGGGGAAGCAGAGTAGCAGACCGGCAGCTGCAGTAGCAGCAGCAGCAGCAACAACAACAGCAGCAGTGGGAGACGAGGGGCAGGCTAGGCTATATGTAGCTGCTGGTGAGGTATGGTACCAGGTGTGGTATGGTACCAGGTGTGGTATGGTACCAGGTGTGGTATGGTACCAGGTGTGGTATGGTACCAGGTGTGGTATGGTACCAGGTGTGGTATGGTACCAGGTGTGGTATGGTACCAGGTGTGGTATGGTAAGCTAATCCCCCTCCTCTCTCTTTCCCCCTTCTCCGCTGCAGGCTGAAGGTGGGAGCACTGGAGCAAGGGCGGGAGAGTGGAGTCCACCCTCTCACTCACCTCCTTCTCTCTCCCTTCTCCCTTCCCTCCCAGCAGCACCCTGCCTGGACCACAGAGGAGTCCCTCCCTCCCCTAATCCCCCCTTCTCTCTCCACTTCCCAGCAGCCTCAGCATCATGGCGCTCTGCACGGCTGTGGTAGGTACAGGTAAGGAGGCACGGGGGTGAAGTGTGGGGTGGGTGGGTGGGGAGCATGGGAGCAAGCGGGCAGCTCACTGCCTTAGGGGCAGCATCCTCTGGTGTTGTGCCTTGTGGGGTGGGGTGTGGTGGGTGGAATCTGTGCGGCACGGCACTCGGTGCTCAAGTAACCGATCTGGCGTTCAAGGCCTAATGGACACCGTCAGAGCTGACCGGCCGGCGGCTCTGGTTCGCGTCAGCTCTGGCTACGTCAGGGGTGGGATTTGAGTCTTGGGCTGGAAGTAATTTTCCACTGCCACACCTCGCCCCACAAGGCACAGCCTCTGTGGGTGTTGTTTCCTTGAGGAAGTGGGTTTTCTGCTGTTCCCTCTGCTTGGGGATGGGCTGGTTAGTTGTGGTGGGTGAGAGGGAGAGGAAAAGGGGGCCTGAATCCCCCAGGGTAAGTGGAGTGAGGGCCAATCATGGGGGCCTGAATCCCCCAGGGTAAGTGGAGTGAGGGGTTATAATGGGGGCCTGGATCCCCCAGGGTAAGTGGAGTGAGGGGCAATAATGGGGGCCTGAATCCCCCAGGGTAAGTGGAGTGAGGGGCTATAATGGGGGCCTGAATCCCCCAGGGTAAGTGGAGTGAGGGGCAATAATGGGGGCCTGAATCCCCCAGGGTAAGTGGAGTGAGGGGCTATAATGGGGGGCTGAATCCCCTAGGGTAAGTGGAGTGAGGGGCAATAATGGGGGCCTGAATCCCCCAGAGTAAGTGGAGTGAGGGGTTATAATGGGGGCCTGGATCCCCCAGGGTAAGTGGAGTGAGGGGCAATAATGGGGGCCTGAATCCCCCAGGGCAAGTGGAGTGAGGGGCTATAATGGGGGCCTGAATCCCCCAGGGTAAGTGGAGTGAGGGGCAATAATGGGGGCCTGAATCCCCCAGGGTAAGTGGAGTGAGGGGCAATAATGGGGGCCTGAATCCCCCAGGGTAAGTGGAGTGAGGGGTAATAATGGGGGCCTGAATCCCCCAGGGTAAGTGGAGTGAGGGGCTATAATGGGGGCCTGAATCCCCCAGGGTAAGTGGAGTGAGGAGCAATAATGGGAGCCTGAATCCCCCAGGGTAAGTGGAGTGAGGGGTAATAATGGGGGCCTGAATCCCCCAGGGTAAGTGGAGTGAGGGGCTATAATGGGGGCCTGAATCCCCCAGGGTAAGTGGAGTGAGGGGCAATAATGGGGGCCTGAATCCCCCAGGGTAAGTGGAGTGAGGGGCTATAATGGGGGCCTGAATCCCCCAGGGTAAGTGGAGTGAGGGGCAATAATGGGGGCCTCACAAGGCCCAGCCTCTACGGGTTGAGTGGGGGGCTCAAACGCCTTGGGTGGGTGAGGAATTGGGTTGAGGAAGTGGCCTGTCTGCTGCTCCTACTACTGGCAGGTGAAGGTGCGGAGGGGTTGGGTGGGGGGCTGAAACGCCTTGGGTGGGTGCGTTGAAGAGAAGGGGCTGAAACCCCTTGGGTGGGTGAGTGTAAGAGAGGGGGATGAAACCCCTTGGGTAGGTGAGTGGAAGAAAAGGGGCTGAAACCCCTTGGTCCGGTGAGTGGAAGAGAAAAGGCTGAAACCCCTTGGGTTGTTAGAATCTTAGGCATGAATGATGTGCACTATCGAGAGATTTTGGTACAAGGAAGAAACCTAAGGGGTTGTACCCCACAGTATCTACCCCACTACAGCCTACCCAAAACTATAACACATATATATGTTTGACATGGGTCGGTGAGTGGAAGAGAAAAGGCTGAAACCCCTTGGGTGGGTGAGCGGAAGAGAAGGGGCTGAAACCCCTTTGGTGGGTGAGCGGAAGAGAAGGGGCTGAAACCCCTTTGGTGGGTGAGTGGAAGCGAAGGGGCTGAAACTCCTTCTATGGGTGAGTGGAAGAGAAGGGTGAGTGTGTGGGTTGGGGGCTGAAAGCCCCAAGATGGATTTGGGACAAAACACTAAGGTGGGCGGGTGAGTGGGAGAGAGTGAAGGGGATTGAAACCCCTAGGGTGGGTGGGTGAGAGGGAGAGAGGGATATGGTGGAAGCCTCTTACGTGGATAGGTGAGTGGGAGAGAGGGTGGGGCCTGAAATTCCTAAATTGGGTTGGTGAGAGGGAGAGAGTGATTTGGGCTCAAATCCCTAACATGGTTGGGTGAGTGGAAGAGAGGGATGGGGCTTGAATTCCCTAAGGTGAGTGGGTGAGTGGGAGAGAGGGGTAGGGGCTGAAACCCCTATGGGGGTGGGTGAGTTGGAGAGAGGGCTTGGGGATAAAACCCGTAAGGTGGGTGGGTTTCAACTGCGGATGGGGAGGACTGACACCGTCAAGCGGGTGCGGGGGAGGCATGGGGCCTGCCTGAAACCTCAAGGTGGGGGAGCAGAGGGGATGGGGTCTGAAACCCCAACGTTGTGTGTACACATGCAAGCACTGTACCAAACCGCCGCGCGGTGAGGTTCTTTGCCATTTTGCGCCGAACACACTCATCGTCGTGTCATGTGCGTGTGACCAATTTCCCTGGGTCTCATTGCTCGGATCCGTATCGCAATTTCCCGCGTGAAGTTTATGATCGCCGACAATTTATGTCTCGCTGTTCATGTTGGACAGCGGAGAACCGAACAAAAGTATTGACAATTTCTAAGAAGCGCTTGTTCTGAGGAGAAACTTGAACAATCTGTACCCATCCACAGCTCAGTATGGTTGTTTTCGCATCAGTGGAGAGTTACCGACGAAGCACCTGTAACAAATTGTATCTACCTTGAGGAAACACGCAATAGTGTTATTCTGGTCGGTAAGGTTATTAAGTGACTGTACGTATTATCGACACCCTTGTTAGTGAGCCTTCACACATTTTTCCTGGAAATTCGCGCGCTATTACCCTGCCGTGCAGCTTCGACAAGCGCACCATGCCGGCACGCCAGTCTCCACGGACCAAAGCAAAGAAGGGACATCGCGACAAGCACCAGCTACGGGCGAAGAAGGGACCTGCTGGTTTGGTTCGGATCTGGTTCGGATCTGGTTCGGATGTCAGTGTAATGGTTGGGTGCGATGCGGTATGATCGATGGAAACGGAAATCCAGGAACGCACGCAACGCCACGTATGTACAGCTGATGCTGGGTGTCAGCTGCTTCTACAGAGAGTGTGAGTTTCATTTTCAAGTTCCAAGATTTGAGAGGACAAGAATCGTCTCGACAACTAGTTGTCCATTCCTTCCTGTTTCCATTTTTGAAACACGGGAGTCATGTAATAGCTCAAGATTCGGGTGCGATTCACTGCGCGTCGCGCGTTCCCTGCTAGAGAACAACAGCTTTCTTGACGTCGCAGCGCTTGTTGCGTGCCTGCCGTTCGATCGCGCCTTTACTGCTCGTCGAGACCATGCGGCATGCACGACTTGTTGACCTCGCTTTGCGCGGCTTGCTGACCGTCGTATCGTCGTAGGACTTGCGCAGTTGTTGCCGCTTGTTGTGCTTTTCCGCGATAGAATCCTCACGATCCATTACGTCAGAGACTCTTTTCCTGGCCTATTAAGTGGAAGATCTCGGCTTCGTCTCGCCAAGGCTTAGGGAATAGGGGATAAACACCATTGGGTCGTTTCGTGAAGCAACTCGAGAACCTTCGTATCGGCGCGCAGCAAGCAACGCGCTTGTTCACCTCCCTCCCTCGCTCCTCGTAACGCCCACATCGTCCCGCGTTCTCGTCCATCTTCCCGCCGGCCTCTAGTTTTGAGTGGATTCATAATCTGTTCTCGTCCATCCTCCATCCGTTATCTATGGACGAGGCCGTTTCGGCCGTGTCGGCCGCGCTATCCTGTGCGGCACCCGCATCGCCGTCAACGGCGGCGGCGGCGGCGGCGTGGGTGGGACCAGCGGCATGGGTGGGATTCTCGTGCGCGCTCGCGCTCTTCATGGCGGCGCGAGGGTTCAGGAAGCGGTCGCTCTCCGCATCCGGCGCTGCTGCGGCGTTCGTCGTGGGATCGCTCACCATGACTGCCGGGGCCAGGTGCGCCGCGTGGGGGATTCAGGGCTGGTAGGATCGCAGAATTCGCGGCTGATAGGATTGTATGAAGGTCGTTGCCCTTCTTCTTCTTGAAGAAACCGAACTTTTTCTCTACCCTCTTCGCACCGCCCCATTCACCCCGTTATCGTCCCCGTTCGCGCCGTGCGCGCGCGCCCGCAGGTTCGGCGTGACGCTGATTGCCTTCTTTCTGTCTTCGTCAAAGCTGACTCGGCTCGGCGCGCAGCACAAGCGACGCGTGGAGGAGCGCTTCAAGGAGGGCGGCCAGCGCGACGGGTGAGCGGAGGGACGAGGGGTGGGTTGGGGTTCAGTGCGGTTGGGCGTGGTGGGGTTGGGTGTGGCGTGGCTCAGCTTGGCGCGCAGCACAAGCGCCGCGTGGAGGAGCGCTTCAAGGAGGGCGGCCAGCGCGACGGGTGAGCGGCGGGGGGTGGGGGGGGGGGGCGGATGGGAAAGAGAGGGGGGGTGGGGACGGCGAGCGGAGGGACGCTGGGGTGGGATGGGATTTGGTGCGGTTGGGAAGATGGGCTGGTGTGAGTGCGTGCAGCGTGGCATTTAGGTGTGACTGAGCAACAGCATCACCGCCCATCTGGGTGTTACTGTGCCGATGGTTGGCCCGATGTCGGCACCATGATCGTGCCATGCCGACCAACCATGTGTGCATCCATCCCCCATCCCCTGCCTCCCCTTGCCCCTCCCCCTCCCCCTCCCCCTCCTCCCAGGTGGCAGGTGCTGAGCAACAGCATCGCCGCCACCACTCTGGCTCTGCTCTTCCTGGTGCTCGTACTCTCTCCTGGAAGCTTCCCCCGTGTGAGCTGGCCTGGCTCCAGGGGAGGCGCGTTTAGCAGCGGCATCAGCAGCAGTGGCATTACAAGCAGCAGCAGCCAGTGCGTTAGCAGCAACTGCAGCAGCGATGCTTTTAAACCTCCAGGGCGGGGCGCGGAGGAGGCGGGAGAGGGAGCCGGAGCAAGTGGAGGGGAGAGTACCAGCAAATGGGGATCAGGAGGGGGATGGGGATGGGGATGGGGATGGAGATGGGAAGGGGCTGGAGGGGGAGCGTGGGGATGGCAGGACAGGTGTTGGGAGAGTGGGGGAGGGGAGCAGCAGCGGTGGGAGCGCATGCTGTTAGCTGCCTTCCTGGCGCACTATGCTGCCTGTGCTGGGGACACGTGGTCGTCTGAGATTGGTGTGCTCAGCAAGAGCCCCCCCCGCCTCATCACCACACTGCAGGTGCGCTCTCTCGCTCTCCTTGCACTCCCTTCCCTCCCTTCCTCCCTCCTTCCCTCCATCCCACCCACCCTTTCTTTCCCACTCCCTCCCTTTTCCCTCCCTCCCTCCCCCTCCCTCCCTCCCTCCCTCTCCCGCTTTATCCTCCGTTGTGTTTTACACCACAATTCACCCCTCGCACCCCATCCACTCCCCTCCCTCCCCGCTCTGCCCTTCCCTCAGCCTCTCTGCATGGTTTGTCCAAATGGCCCCAACCAGCAAGTGCCTCGGGGCACGAACGGGGGAGTGTCTCTCATGGGCCTGGGAGCGGCAGCAGGGGGAGCGTTCATGGTTGCTGTGTTCCTTAACCCCCCCCCCCCCTCCCTGCTCTCCCCTTCTCCCCTTCCCCCACCAATCGCCCCAACCAGCAAGTGCCTCGGGGCACGAACGGGGGAGTGTCACTCATGGGCCTGGGAGCGGCAGCAGCAGGGGGCGCGTTCATGGGAGCTGTGTTCCTTGCCTCTGGTCTCCTCTCCACTGCCCTCTGCTCCTCCAACCTCGCTGTTCCTTCTACTCAATTTATTCCTGCCACCGTCACGCACGTGCATTTTACCAGCAAGTTTACAGACAGTAGCGTCAATTCCTCCGCCTCCTCCTCCTCCTCTTCCTCCTCTTCCTCCTCCTCCTATTCACCGGACTCGATGGAAGGTACTTCTGGTGCTGGTTCTGTCGCTGATGGTGCTGGTGCTGGTGCTGGTGGTGAAAGACGGGAGGATAGTGAGGGGCGAGATGGGAGCAAGAGACATGAGACTGAGCAGCAGCAACAGAAAGAGCAACAGCAGCAGCGACAGCAACAGCAGCTTGTGTGGCTGCAGGTGCTAGCAGTGCCGCTGGGGCTAGCAGCAGGGTTGGTAGGCTCTCTTCTGGACTCGCTCCTGGGTGCAACGCTGCAGTACAGCGGATTTTGCCAAGTCAGGAAAAAGGTGCGTGCAGGGACTGGGCTGCTGCTGCGGCATCTGTGCTTCACTGCTGCACTCGATATTCTCCTGCTGCCAGCAGGGTTTGTTTGTTTGAGTGCCCTATGCTCATTGTGTATCTCATGCTATGCACGTGCCATGTCCCATGCTCATCATATCCCATGCTATGCACGTACCATGTCCCATGCTCATCATATCCCATGCTATGCACGTGCCATGTCCCATGCTCATCATATCCCATGCTATGCATGTCCCATGTGTCCTGATTCCGGTGGTGTGTCACATTGGTAACAGGTGGTAGCAGCACCAGGCCCATCAGTGAAGCACATATCAGGCCTCAGATGGCTCTCCAACGATGCTGTCAACTGCATATCAGCGCTCACCATGTCTCTCCTGGCTGCCGCAGCCATGTCAAACTTATAGTGGAGCTTCTGAGTCGACTTTACCTGTGCCAGGGTCTTACTGTGAAGCACAAACATATCGGGCCTCAGATGGCTGTCCAACGATGCTGTTAGCCGCATATCAGCGCCCATAATGTCCCTCGTTGCTGCTGCTGTCATGTCAATCCTATAGCGGGACATTTGAGTTTACTCGAACAGTGCCAGACCCCTCAGCGAAGCACATATGGTACCTGAATCATATGCGCTGTATGATTCAAGGCATATGATTCAGGGCTCAGATCACAGATGGCTGTACAAGCACAACTAGGTATGCTGTCAATTGCATATCCGCTCTGCGCTCATCATGTCGCTTGCTGTCGCTGCTGTCATGTCGAGTCTATACCGATGCAAGGCAAGTGGGATTGTGAAGCGTACTATGTCTATGTAAGAGGCAGCTGCTTCAGTGGGAATTTTCAGGTTTGTCATACTGACCGTGCAAGATTGTACGGTATACAATCTGCATTCAGACATGCATTGAATACTGGAATGTATGAGAGAGTGAAGTGAAACGTCCAGGGTACCAGGATTTGATTTGTCTGCAAACGAGTGGGTGGCGGGAATGGGGTGGTGCAGGTCAAGCAGGCACTTGGTCCCCCCCCCTTACCAGGCACTAATGCATACTTGGTACGGTAGTAATGCAATGCAAATTTTGCTGTAGACAGAATTAAGTCAATACACTGTCAAAAGAGAGCGGCAGAGCACGTGAACCCCCCCCTTCCCTACGCCCTTTAGTGCCGCGGACTACACTCCTAGCAGCAGTACACTACTACTGGGTTCCAACCACTGTCAGTACAGATAATTAAACACAGTACAGTAACCTCTTTATGGTACACTTTAAGAGCTGCAATTGTGCAATTGAGCAGGTATCAAGACTTGGGTGGTCTGAAAAAAACCACAGCTTGGTGCGAGGGTTTAGGTACCATATGAGCCACGATTCATCATGTGCCCGTTATACGGTATGTGAAGCTGGCAAGGTGGCACTAGATACGGTAGGTGGAAAATTAGAGGGGGGTGCAGTGCGGTGGAGCTCGATAAGGAATTGCAGTCGGGTCGCGAGTCAGGATGGGGAAGAAGGGAGCGAAAGGAAGTGGTGAGAAATGAGATGGAGAGAAGAGAATTGGTGAGACAGGAAAGCGAGAGAAGGGAAAAGAGAGAAAGGGATACGAAGCGGAAGGGAGTGGCGGAAGGGGGAGTGGCAGAGGGGAGCGCGGCAGAGGGGAGCGCGGCAGAGGGGAGCTTGGCAGCAGCTGTGGTGCTGCTCAGGAATGCGTGAGAGCGTCAGCGAGACCCTTGGCCTGCCAGACACATGGGGTTGGTGCGATGGAGGGAGGGAGGGATGGAGGGAGCGGGAAGAAAGGAGTTATGAGGCTTTGAAAGGTGCCAGACACATGGGTTTTATGGGAGGGAGGCAGGGGTGGAGGGAGGGATGGAGGGAGAGGGGAGAAAAGAAATGTTAAGCAGCACATTATACCACAGCAAACCACACCCCGCACCCCACTCCCCTCCCCTCCTCGTTCGCAACCCCCACCATACACACCTGCGATTTCAGCTTTTGGGACAATCCATCCCACACCCCGTACACCTCCCACCACATCCCACACACTGTACTGTACCCAAACCCTGCTGCCACACGCACGCGCGAGTGGAGGTTCTGGGACGAGTGAACCCCATCTATCTGCCCTGGATGCGGCAACACGCCCCACCCCACAGCACACAGCACACAGCACACAGCACACAGACGCGCCCCACTCCACGTACCTTCGTTTGCAGCCTCTGGGACGAGTGAACCCCATCTATCTGCTCTGGACGCGGCAACACGCCCCACCCCACAGCACACAGCACCACTCCCCACACAAACCCCCGCGACTGCACCCTCTGAGACGAGTCATCCCCAGCCATGTGCTCCAGGTGCGGCAGCAGCATGCCTTCTGCGCTCTCAACCCTAGCCTATAGTGTCCCACCGACACCCCACAGACACCACTACCCACACCATCCCCCATACATCCCCCATACCCCCCACACACCACATACCTTCGTTTGCAGCCGCTGCGACGAGTCGTCCCCAGCCATCTGATCCAGGCGCGGCAGCAGCGTGCCTTCTGAACCCTGGCGTATAGTGTCTCACACACAGCAGACAAACAGCACGCCCCACAAACACCACACACCTCCACATACCTTGGTTTGCAGCCGCTGAGACGAGTCATCCCCAGCCATTTGCTCCAGGTGTGGCAGCAGCGTGCCTTCTGAACCCTGGTGTACTGTGTCTCATATGCAGCACACAGCGCACACATCCCCCACTGACCTTGGTTTGCAGCCGCTGAGACGAGTCATCCCCGGCCATCTGATCCAGGTGTGGCAGCAGTGTGCCCTCCGCGGCCACCACAGCAGCGCGGCACTCCTCGTCGCCCTTAGTCGCCATGCGCAGCAGCGTTGCCGCGGCCATTTCCCGCGCCAGAGATGACCCCTCCTCCCCCACCACCAAACCCACCAGCACACCCACTCCCAACACGGCCCCCTCAGCTTCCCCCTGTCCTTCCCCCTGCGCTTCCCCCTCCCCCTCCCCCTTCCCCTGGGCGCGGAACGTGTAGATCCGCCTCAGTCCGCTCTCCGTGCGCCCCAGCTGCGCCAGCAGCGCCGCCACCTCATCTAACACGTCCACGTCACCGCTCACAGCCAATCGCAGCGCGAGCTCCACTCCCCCCTCCTCCACCATCTCCTCCCGCACCTCCTCGCTCCCCGCCAGCCGCGCGAGCGCGCGCAGCGCGTCGCGCCGCCCGTCAGACCCTTCCCCCGACCCCTCCGCGAGATCTAGCAGCGCGCGCACCGTCCCTTGCTTGTGCAGCGACGGCACCTGCGCCGCGCCGCCTCTTGCCACCAGCGCCGTGATCGCCGCCGCTGTGTTGCTGCGAATCGACGGGTTGTGCGACCGGCACAGCACGCTAGAGAGGCTCGTCAGCGCGCCCGACACGAGGAACCGATTCGCGATGCTCTTATTGCTAAGCGACAGATTAAGAATCGTTAGAACCGCGTGCTCCGTCGCGGCCTCGTCCGCGCCGGGTCCCAGCATCTGCAGCAGCGCGATCAACCCCCCCGCGTCGCAGAGGAATTGAATTCCGCGCTCCGAGCACTTGCTCAGGTCTCTGAACCCCTCCGCGGCTTCGCGCACCTCCCCCACGTCTTTGCTCTTCGCCTTGCGGATCAGCGCGGGGAGCTCCTCCAGAAGCTCCGCCTCTCTCTCCGCGTCCTCCCCCGCCTCCCGCCCCAGCTCGTGCCCTTTCCCGCCTCCGCCTCCGCCTCCGCCCGCCTGTCCGCCCACGGCCTTTCCGCCTGCGCGCGCAGCTTTCCCCTTTCCTTCGGTCGCGAGCGCCCCCCAATCGGGCTCGTCGTCGAGGCTGAAGCTTCCGCGCCCGCCCCCGCCGCCCTGCGCAATGCCCGGGCCGTCCCCCGCGTCGCACTCCCTGTGCTTGCGCGCGAACGTGCGCGCGAAGCGGACAGGGGGGCTGCGGGGACGGGCGGGGGATGGACAGGTGGGGGGCGTGGGAAAAGGGGTGGAGAGCGGGGGAGAGGGTGGGAGACAGGCAGGTAGGCAGGCAGGCAGGTGGGCAGGTAAACCAGGGTATGCACGAATGTTCGTTCGTACGCTACGCAGAATGCGCGTGTGGGCAATGGCCATGCGTGCGTGCGTGCGTGCATGCGTCTTACGATGCTGCGTTGGCCTTGGCCGAAGCTGCTGCGTCATTCGCGCGCGCCTGAAGAGGGAACGAGGAAAAGTGCGGGAATAGGATAGGACGAGGGGGACAGGAAGGGAGGGAGGGAGGGAGGGAAACATGAAACTGGCAGCGAGACTTGGGAGATAGTTAAGGAGGCTTAGTAGGAGAAAAAAACGCGGCGAGCGAGGGGTAACGGAACGACAGGCGAGGGGTGGATGAGGCTGTTGTGTCGACGTTCGACGTTCGACGTTACGATGCATGAAAGGCGTTCCCCACACGCACCACTTCTTCTATCTGCTTTCGCATGGCGCGCGCGACTTTGCCCTCCGCGGGGGACGCTTCGATGCGCTGAGGCGCTTGGCCGGTGCGCGACTTGAGAAAAGCATGCAGCTTGCCGCTGTACGTGTGCGACAAAACAGGCCCAGTCCCGCCACCGCCGCCGCCGCCAGCGCCAGCGCCCCCGGGCGCGTCCGCTTCATGGCTCCGTGGTTGCATGTTGGGCGCAGGGCCAAGGCGCACCAATGTAATGCGCGTTAAGTTAAGTCTAACCTAATGGTTGCTGATTAAGCGTTCGCGGGTAGCTGCGAGGAGGGCGCCTCGTCGAGTGGAAGTTAATGATGTTCGGAAAAGGGATTCTTCAATAGCAGGCGAGTAGTTGGCCCGAAATTGAATGGTTGCGGGATTTGGAGCGAAAGGGGAATATAAATACAGGAGGACCACCGGTGCTCCTAAGCTGGTGTCAGAGGGTGGTTTCGCGCGCATATGCTGGCACGCGGAACTGTCGGGACGATGTGCGCAGCGCGCGGTGATGCAAGGAAATAATATCCGAGGCAGTTCGTATGCGTCGTTTAGACGAGTTACATGGCAAGGGAAGCAGTGGACTTAGTATGGGATGAGAGACTCGCTGGGAGAAAGGAAAGAGAAGAGGCGTAACGTAACCAGAGAGGGAGACAGCAGGAGTGCGTGGAGTCTGTGGAGCAGTACAGAATGTTCATAATAATCTCAGCAGCCTAATATCTGTACGTAGGTGCATATTTGCGCCGTCTGTTCAGGTAGATATCAAGCGGAGAGTGCAGCAGGTTTGTTGGGATTGGGAGGCCATGGAAAGCCCTGGCGTGAAGCTCGGCGTAACTGACGCATCGGGAGATAGTTATAGCGGGTACAGTGAGGGTGTTTGGTGTTCTCGGTTTGGGCCTGCATATTTTTTTCAGTCGGTTTCCATAACACAGAACAGTAAGATTTACTACCACATACTCGGATTTATATCAACAAAGGTTACCTGGCTGCGAGGATTTTACGATTTTCGGCTTCCAGCTATATTTTCTGTTGGTAGAACCCACCATTCACCCCCGTTTGCTAGCAGTAGGAGCGACGTCGCACAGTGGCACCCACTCCAGTGGTGCTGCTTGTCGTCATGCCTACAGAACAAAAGCTGTCGAACAATACGGGGCAGGAAAAAAACAGAACTTGTGCAAGACCTGTAGAGACAAAATAAAGTCCACGGATGGGCGAGATAATGGTGGTGCGGTCCAAAAGTTTTTAGTCCTTCGAACGAAGGTCAACAACACCTGGCCTTGGGGCAGGCACTGAATGCATGCTCGACTACGCGCCGCATACAGTAGTGTCAGGGGGAAAGGGGAAAATTGAAGGGGAGAGGGGAAAGGGGAAGCTGGCGGCGCCTGCTCGGCGGAAGTCAATGCTCGTTGTAATCAGCCTCCTGACACAATGTAACTATTTTAAATAAAAGACTTTCATTTGTGTTATAGCGCTTGATATCAACAGCTTATAAGCTCAACATGGAATCTGCAGTAGCGAGTTCAACCCAACTGTTGTCAAGCCCATTTCAAGCCACTAACTTGCTGCTCTCGCCGTCATTCCCGCTTCGCCGCCTTCACTTTCTCCCTCTGCCTTCCCTGCTCCTCCCCGCGACCCGATGATATGCCTCGCTCATCCCGCTCGTCTGTATGCCACTCCCCAACCGTCCGTCGGGCCAGCCCCCGTTAGTGTCACGAATGCACACTATAGCGAGGCGCGCTTGGTTCAACGGTCGCCTTTCTCCTCCCCGTGCTCTCGTGCATCAACACCATTGATAACCGCATTGCGCTTGTATCGAGGCATCTCGGTCTCCCAGCCGCCGATACGCGCTATAAGCAAGCCACGCAGACCCGCCGCAATTGCCGGCGAAATGGCTCCAGACGGGAGCGTCTCTGGCGGCAGCGCGGGATCCGTCGCCGTGGCCGCCTCCGCAATCGACGTCGAAGCGTCGCAGGCGCAGCGAGGCGTTGTTAATCCCGAGAAACGGGGAGAACCGGGGAACGGCAGAACGGAGGCGAATGGCGACGAGTCAAACGGGAGGATCAAGACGAGCGGGAAGAGCGGCGGCGACGGCGGCGGCGCGGGGAGCTGGGAAGAGCCTCGGAGCCGCATGTGGGAATGGCGGGAGAACTGGATGGTCCACTACGAAGTTGCTGGGGATGAAACGGACAGGTGCGTGACAAAAAACCGAGTTGACCTAAAAGCAGACTCAAATTCCACATGTGGGAATGGCGGGAGAACTGGATGGTCCACTACGAAGTTGCTGGGGATGAAACGGACAGGCGCGGTGCACTTGCTCGCTGCTTGCTGCTTGCCTCTTGCTGTTCTCGTGCTCTCTCCTCCTCTTTCACTCCGCTTCTGGTGCCCTTTCCATTCTCTGCTCTCGTCTTTTCTTCATTCACTACTCCTTACTTCTGCTCCCTCGCACGCTTCTGAGTTCCCCCCTTCATCTCAGAAGTCCGACGATGTTTGAGTTCCACCCTTCTTTTGAGGCGCCTCAAAAGTCGCTTCAAAAGTCGCCTCAAAAGTCGCCTCAAAAGTCGCCTCAAAAGTCGCCTCAAAAGTCGCCTCAAAAGTCTTCTGAGTTCCCCCCTTCAACTCAGAAGCCCGACGATGTTTGAACTACATCCTTCTTCTTCCCACCTCTCCCTCCCCGCTCCTCCCTCTTCACCCACCTCTCCCCCCTCCCCCTCCCTCGCCCTCCCCCCGCCTCCTTCCCCCGTTCCGCGCGCCCAGGTCTCTCCCCGCGGTGCTGCTGCTGCCGGGGTTCGGCGTGGGGTCCTTCCACTTCCAGCAGCAGCTGCGCGGACTGGCGGCAGGCGCAGGGGCAGGCGCAGGGGCAGGCGGAGCAGCAGGCGGGGCAGCAGGAGCAGAATCAGGTGGAGAATCAACTAGAGTAGGCGGAGGAGGAGGAGGAGGAGGAGGGCAGGAGGGAGGAGAGGCGCAGCAGCGGTATCGGGTGTGGGCGATGGATTTCTTTGGCCAGGGCAAGTCCTGGCCTGCCAAGGACCCCGCTCCCTTCCCTGCTCCTGCTGCCGCTGCTGCTCCTCCTGCTGCTGCTTCGGCTTCTGCTGCTGCCCTCGGGTCGGACCGAGCAGGACGAGCAGCAGAGGAAGAGGAGGCGCTGCTGCTGCGAGGGGCAGAAGAGGGGAGGGGGGGACAAACAGAGTCAAGGGAGTCAAGCGAGTCAACGGAGGAGGTTGTAGCGGACTGGGGGTTTGGGCCTAGAGCAGAGCCGTGGGCGCGGGACTTGGTGTATGGGTCGGACATGTGGTGCGAGCAGGTTGCGGCGTTCATTTCCCAGGTGAGTCAACGCAGTCAGCACAGTCAACGCAGTCAGCACAGTCAACGCAGTCAGCACAGTCTCCCAGGTGGTCGTTTCTTCTGTTTGTTTTTGTATTGTCTATTTTCTAGGAGGCTTTTTTTCCAGAGTTGCTGTCCATCATGGTTGGCAGTTGACTCTCTTGACTCCTCACATGTGAGTGTGCGGGCGTGCATGCATGGGTGTACCTGCATGCCTGGGCGTGCGTGCATGGGTGTACCTGCATGCCTGTACCTGCATGCCTGTGCGTGCATGCCTGTACCTGCATGCCTGGGCGTGCATGCCTGGGCGTGCATGCCTGTGCGTGCATGCCTGGGCGTGCATGCCTGTGCGTGCATGCCTGGGCGTGCATGCCTGTGCGTGCATGCCTGGGCGTGCATGCCTGGGCGTGCATGCCTGGGCGTGCATGCCTGGGCGTGCATGCCTGGGCGTGCATGCCTGGGCGTGCATGCCTGGGCGTGCATGCCTGGGCGTGCATGCCTGTACCTGCATGCCTGGGCGTGCATGCCTGGGCGTGCATGCCTGTACCTGCATGCCTGGGCGTGCATGCCTGGGCGTGCATGCCTGTGCGTGCATGCCTGGGCGTGCATGCCTGTGCGTGCATGCCTGGGCGTGCATGCCTGTGCGTGCATGCCTGGGCGTGCATGCCTGTGCGTGCATGCCTGGGCGTGCATGCCTGTGCGTGCATGCCTGGGCGTGCATGCCTGTGCGTGCATGCCTGGGCGTGCATGCCTGTGCGTGCATGCCTGGGCGTGCATGCCTGGGCGTGCATGCCTGTGCGTGCATGCCTGGGCGTGCATGCCTGGGCGTGCATGCCTGGGCGTGCATGCCTGTGCGTGCATGCCTGGGCGTGCATGCCTGTACCTGCATGCCTGGGCGTGCATGCCTGGGCGTGCATGCCTGTGCGTGCATGCCTGGGCGTGCATGCCTGTGCGTGCATGCCTGGGCGTGCATGCCTGTGCGTGCATGCCTGGGCGTGCATGCCTGTGCGTGCATGCCTGGGCGTGCATGCCTGTGCGTGCATGCCTGGGCGTGCATGCCTGTGCGTGCATGCCTGGGCGTGCATGCCTGTGCGTGCATGCCTGGGCGTGCATGCCTGGGCGTGCATGCCTGTGCGTGCATGCCTGGGCGTGCATGCCTGGGCGTGCATGCCTGTGCGTGCATGCCTGGGCGTGCATGCCTGTGCGTGCATGCCTGGGCGTGCATGCCTGGGCGTGCATGCCTGGGCGTGCATGCCTGGGCGTGCATGCCTGGGCGTGCATGCCTGGGCGTGCATGCCTGGGCGTGCATGCCTGGGCGTGCATGCCTGTACCTGCATGCCTGGGCGTGCATGCCTGGGCGTGCATGCCTGGGCGTGCATGCCTGTGCGTGCATGCCTGGGCGTGCATGCCTGTGCGTGCATGCCTGGGCGTGCATGCCTGTGCGTGCATGCCTGGGCGTGCATGCCTGGGCGTGCATGCCTGGGCGTGCATGCCTGGGCGTGCATGCCTGTGCGTGCATGCCTGGGCGTGCATGCCTGTGCGTGCATGCCTGGGCGTGCATGCCTGGGCGTGCATGCCTGGGCGTGCATGCCTGGGCGTGCATGCCTGGGCGTGCATGCCTGGGCGTGCATGCCTGGGCGTGCATGCCTGGGCGTGCATGCCTGTACCTGCATGCCTGGGCGTGCATGCCTGGGCGTGCATGCCTGTACCTGCATGCCTGGGCGTGCATGCCTGGGCGTGCATGCCTGTGCGTGCATGCCTGGGCGTGCATGCCTGTGCGTGCATGCCTGGGCGTGCATGCCTGGGCGTGCATGCCTGGGCGTGCATGCCTGGGCGTGCATGCCTGGGCGTGCATGCCTGGGCGTGCATGCCTGTGCGTGCATGCCTGGGCGTGCATGCCTGTGCGTGCATGCCTGGGCGTGCATGCCTGTGCGTGCATGCCTGGGCGTGCATGCCTGTGCGTGCATGCCTGGGCGTGCATGCCTGGGCGTGCATGCCTGGGCGTGCATGCCTGGGCGTGCATGCCTGTGCGTGCATGCCTGGGCGTGCATGCCTGTGCGTGCATGCCTGGGCGTGCATGCCTGGGCGTGCATGCCTGGGCGTGCATGCCTGGGCGTGCATGCCTGGGCGTGCATGCCTGGGCGTGCATGCCTGGGCGTGCATGCCTGTACCTGCATGCCTGGGCGTGCATGCCTGGGCGTGCATGCCTGTACCTGCATGCCTGGGCGTGCATGCCTGGGCGTGCATGCCTGTGCGTGCATGCCTGGGCGTGCATGCCTGTGCGTGCATGCCTGGGCGTGCATGCCTGTGCGTGCATGCCTGGGCGTGCATGCCTGTGCGTGCATGCCTGGGCGTGCATGCCTGTGCGTGCATGCCTGGGCGTGCATGCCTGTGCGTGCATGCCTGGGCGTGCATGCCTGTGCGTGCATGCCTGGGCGTGCATGCCTGTGCGTGCATGCCTGGGCGTGCATGCCTGTGCGTGCATGCCTGGGCGTGCATGCCTGTGCGTGCATGCCTGGGCGTGCATGCCTGTGCGTGCATGCCTGGGCGTGCATGCCTGTGCGTGCATGCCTGGGCGTGCATGCCTGTGCGTGCATGCCTGGGCGTGCATGCCTGTGCGTGCATGCCTGGGCGTGCATGCCTGTGCGTGCATGCCTGTGCGTGCATGCCTGGGCGTGCATGCCTGTGCGTGCATGCCTGGGCGTGCATGCCTGTGCGTGCATGCCTGGGCGTGCATGCCTGTGCGTGCATGCCTGGGCGTGCATGCCTGTGCGTGCATGCCTGGGCGTGCATGCCTGTGCGTGCATGCCTGGGCGTGCATGCCTGTGCGTGCATGCCTGGGCGTGCATGCCTGGGCGTGCATGCCTGGGCGTGCATGCCTGTGCGTGCATGCCTGGGCGTGCATGCCTGTGCGTGCATGCCTGGGCGTGCATGCCTGGGCGTGCATGCCTGGGCGTGCATGCCTGGGCGTGCATGCCTGGGCGTGCATGCCTGGGCGTGCATGCCTGGGCGTGCATGCCTGGGCGTGCATGCCTGTACCTGCATGCCTGGGCGTGCATGCCTGGGCGTGCATGCCTGTACCTGCATGCCTGGGCGTGCATGCCTGGGCGTGCATGCCTGTGCGTGCATGCCTGGGCGTGCATGCCTGTGCGTGCATGCCTGGGCGTGCATGCCTGGGCGTGCATGCCTGGGCGTGCATGCCTGGGCGTGCATGCCTGGGCGTGCATGCCTGGGCGTGCATGCCTGTGCGTGCATGCCTGGGCGTGCATGCCTGTGCGTGCATGCCTGGGCGTGCATGCCTGTGCGTGCATGCCTGGGCGTGCATGCCTGTGCGTGCATGCCTGGGCGTGCATGCCTGGGCGTGCATGCCTGGGCGTGCATGCCTGGGCGTGCATGCCTGTGCGTGCATGCCTGGGCGTGCATGCCTGTGCGTGCATGCCTGGGCGTGCATGCCTGGGCGTGCATGCCTGGGCGTGCATGCCTGGGCGTGCATGCCTGGGCGTGCATGCCTGGGCGTGCATGCCTGGGCGTGCATGCCTGTACCTGCATGCCTGGGCGTGCATGCCTGGGCGTGCATGCCTGTACCTGCATGCCTGGGCGTGCATGCCTGGGCGTGCATGCCTGTGCGTGCATGCCTGGGCGTGCATGCCTGTGCGTGCATGCCTGGGCGTGCATGCCTGTGCGTGCATGCCTGGGCGTGCATGCCTGTGCGTGCATGCCTGGGCGTGCATGCCTGTGCGTGCATGCCTGGGCGTGCATGCCTGTGCGTGCATGCCTGGGCGTGCATGCCTGTGCGTGCATGCCTGGGCGTGCATGCCTGTGCGTGCATGCCTGGGCGTGCATGCCTGTGCGTGCATGCCTGGGCGTGCATGCCTGGGCGTGCATGCCTGGGCGTGCATGCCTGGGCGTGCATGCCTGTGCGTGCATGCCTGTGCGTGCATGCCTGGGCGTGCCTTTCCACACACCTACACCTGCCCATGCACACTGTCCCCACACCGTACCCCACCGCACCCAACCAGGTCATCCAAGAGCCAGTGTTCATAGCAGGCAACTCCTTGGGCGGCTACATAGGCGCGTATCTCGCTGCCTCGCACCCGCACCTGTGCCGCGGGCTCATGCTGCTCAACGCCACGCCCTTCTGGGCCTTTGCTCCCAACCCAGCTGCCCCTGCGCCTTCTCTCCTCGCCCGCCTCTACCCGTTCTCCTGGCGCGGGTCTCTTCCTGTTCCGACGCTCGCGCGGGTGGTTGCACGGCGATGGTGAGTGTGCTGCTGCTGCTGCTGCTGCTGCTGCGATGGTGAGCGGGTTTTGAGGCGCCTCAAAAAAAAAAAAAAAACAACAACAACAACAAAAAAATGAGGCGCCTCAAAATCGTGAGCGGGCTCATACTGCTCAACGCCACGCCCTTCTGGGCCTTCGCTCCTAACCCGGACGCTCCTGTGCCCTCGCTCCTTGCGCGACTTTACCCGTTCTCCTGGCGTGGCACGCTTCCTGTTCCGACGCTCGCGCGGGTGGTTGCACGGCGATGGTGAGTGTTCTGCCGCCGCCGCCGCCGCCTCCGCCGCCGCTGCTGCTGCTGCTGCCGTCGCAGCCGCTGCTGCAGCGGCTGCTTCTGTCTTCCCCGCAGCGTGTTTCCCAACACACCAGATGCCCAAGGAATCACGTCCTGCGTTTTTAGGCGTCTCACAAATCGTGTCCAGCACACTTAATGATTCCCAGTGACTCCCTGCTGCTCCTACTCGATCCACCCACCCCTTCTTTCCAAGTCACGCCCGCCCTTCGCTCCCCCTTCTTCCCGGGCTCCCCCTCTTCCCGATCGCACAGGTGAGACAGTCTGTGCCGTCCCGCCACGCTGCGCTCGCTGCTCGCTCTCGTATGCTCCGATGCGTAGCCAAGGCATCCGAGCTCACCGCTCACAGGCAACACAGAGAGCATCCCGCAGCCCACCCACGCGGCATCTTGCTAATCCGATCTCCGCCCTCCTCCCCTTTCCCCCTCCCTCTCTCCCCGTGTGCCACCCCCCTCCCCCCTCTCCCCCCCCGACTTCGTCTGTCGATCCCGGTCCTCCACCTGTCATTCACAGGTGGGACAGTCTGCCTGCCAACCAACCCCCTTTCCCCTCTGTCTGTCATTCCCTCCCTCACTCACTCTCCCCCTTTTCCAATCACACAGGTGGGACAGTCAGTCTGCGGCATCCCACCACGCTGCGCTCGCTGCTCGCTCTTGTCTACACCGATGCAGCACCGCTCACCCCTGCTCACTCTCGTCCCCTCTTGCTCCCCCCTCTCACCCCACCCCCCACTCCAATGGCACAGGTGGGACAGTCTGCGCCACCCCACCACGCTCCGCTCGCTGCTCACATTCGTGTACACCGATGCAGCACCGCTCACCCCTGCGCTCATTGACAGCATTGCACGCACTGCCCTCACTCTCCTCCCCTTCCCTCCAACCCCCCTCCACACAGGTGGGACAGTCTGCGGCATCCCACCACGCTGCGTTCCCTGCTCGCTCTCGTGTACACCGACCCGTCACCGCTCACCCCCGCGCTCATAGACAGCATCGCACACAACGTCCTGAAACTCCCCATTCCACCCTTTCTTCCCACCCCTCTCCCCCCAACCTCCCCCTCCCTCCCCCCTCCCACTGCCTGCCAACCACCCCCCTTTCCCTCCTGTCTGTCAATCCATCCCCCTTGCCTGTCCTGCACAGGTGGGACAGTCTGCGCCATCCCACCACGCTGCGCTCGCTGCTCACTCTTGTCTACACCGACCCGTCACCGCTCACCCCCGCGCTCATAGACAGCATCGCCCAGCCCACGCAGCACCCCGCCTCTGCTGCTGCCTTCGCCTCCATCCTCTTTGCCCCCAAGGCGCGCCTCTCTTTCGATGAGAACCTCAGCACGTGAGTTCCATTTCAGGTGCTGGTGTTGAGAAACCCAAAAGAGATACCTGTTTCAAACGTCACCTGCCTGTGTGCCCAGTCTGCATGCTGCCTTCGCCTCCATTCTCTTTGCCCCCAAGGCGCGCCTCTCCTTCGACGAGAACCTCAGCAGGTGCGCTCCATTTGCGTCCATCCTGTTTGGTGCTGTGCTTGCGCTTCGACACACGTCTCAACAGCTGCTGCCTTCGCTTCGCCTCCATCCTCTTTGCCCCCAACCCCAAGGCCCGCCTCTCGTTCGACGAAAATCTCAGCTGGTGGTGACTATCCAGGCAGGTGCCGTTCTTGAGAATGCTAAAAGTACACACCTGTTTCAAGTGTCACCTGCCTGTGCGTTCAGTCTTTCTTCCCTTTCAATCTGCTTCCTTCCTTCGCCTCCATCCTCTTTGGCCCCCAAGGCCCGGCTCTCTTTTGATGAGAACCTGAGCCGGCGAGTTCTGAGGCGTCTCAACAAATGGTGGTTAACTGCTCTGTACACTTCCGTTCTTCTTTTCCCCCTGCCTTCTGCCCTCTCCACTCTCCGCCCCTCTTTCCTCTCCCAACTCTCCTCTCCCAACTCTCCTCTCCCAACTCCCCTCACACAACTCCCTTCTCTCACCTCCCCCTCACAGCATAACCGCTCGCGCCCTGCCAGTGTGCATTATTCACGGCCGGGACGACCCCTGGGTGGGGCCCATGTGGGCGGCCAGAGCAGCCAGAGCTCTCCCGCACGCCGCCTTCTTTGAACTCTCCCCTGCCGGCCACTGCCCCCACCACGAGAGACCTCAGGTGAGTGCATGTCCGTGCTGTCCTGTCGTTCGCAACATGTGCTGTAATGCAACCACCAGCTTCCCTCACCTATGCCCCACAATCATCTTGCAGACTCCCCACCCCACCCACCTCCCTGCATGTCCCCACATCCCCGCATACCTCATTTCGTAACCCTCGTGCCACCCTCTCTGCCCTTCTCGTCGTGCATCTACTTATGCCCACTCTCTCTTGCCCATCTGTTTTCCCCCATCTCCCCTTTTTCCCCACCCCTCTCTTTTTCCCATCTCTTTCTCCCTCTCCTCTCTAGGTGGTTAACTACCTCATCTCTTCATGGGTCTCACACGTTCACTCCAACTTCTCCACGCCCCTCCCCCTCTCTCCTGAGCCGCACTCAACACACTCCCACTCCGACTCACCCTCCGCAGCTTCACTTGCCTCCTCCTCATCCTCCTCCTCCTCACAACCCTCCACTGCTCTTCCCTGGTCGTTCCCTTCCCTATTGGGGGAGGGGGAATGGGAGGAGGGTGTGTGGATAGACGGAGTGGGATTACACACCTCATCAGCAGAGAAGCAAGGGGACGTGACTGAACCAACCGTGACTGTAAAGAGTTCAGGAGGTTCGCAGAGCGTGGGTGCAGGATCGGAACCTTGGTCCGGGATTCAAGTGAGGAGGCATATGAAGCCTCCTCCCCACCCGATTCATCTGGTAGATGCTGCAGTTGAGACTGTGTCTGCTACTTGGAGACGAATCACTGGTAAGGCTGATGCTGGTAGCGATAACGGGAGGAAAAAGAGCCTGTGAGGCCTATGAGGAGGCATATGATATGAAGCCTCCTCCCCACCCGATTCATCTCGTGGATGCTGCAGTTGAGACTGTGTCTGCTACTTGGAGACGAATCACAGGGAAGGGTAATGGCCGTAGCGATGGCGGGAGGAAAAAGAGCGAGTGATGTGGGGGGAGGTGGTGGTTGGCGTGGAAAGGAGAGGGAGAAGTGGTTGAGGGAAGGGGGGCGTGCTAATTATTGACGCACAATACTGAGAATTGTTGCGATCAGAAGTTGATCGACCTCAGGATCACCTCAGGAAGGTTCGCACACTCCTAGTCTAGTGGTGGTGGGCCCTTGACCTCAATAGCAGAGTGAATGTAAATGCTTGAGATAATAAAAACATGCAGTACAAGGAATATAAATAAGAGTACAGGGGAATATGAATCGACCTAACTAGCCATGTACTCTAAGGGGTACATTCCCTTATTACATCGAAATCCAACCGTGCGACTCCAGACAGTTACGAAAATGTCCGGGCAGAGTCCTCGCCACTGCTGCTGCCTGATGCTGTCTGCCCAACGGTCCAGATGCTTTCGTAACCGTGCGACCCTTCGCGTCACTTGTGCCTTTTCACCTTCACTCTCGGTAGTGCGTGCTACGTTTGCTGCGGTGAGGAGTGCACAGTAGTGTTTCAATAATCACTATTCGTAACACCCCCCTTCACTCCTGGCCGTAGCGAGTCTTGACCCGCTTGACCACCCCGCTGAGTTCGGAGCAGTGCTGGTACTGCTGACGTGACAGTTTCTTCGTGAGGAAGTCAGCTGCCATGTCACCCGTAGGGCAGTAGGTTAGGTCGACCTTACCCTTGTCAACTTCGTCCTTGACGAAGAAGTACCGTAGCGCGATGTGTTTGGTGCGGTTGACGAATCCCGGCTTGTTCGCGATCCTGATCGCGCTCTGATTGTCGCAGTGCAGGCGAAAGTTCGCCGAGGCTGGAATTTTCGCTTCCTGCAGTAGCTCCTGAAGGTAGAGGCCTTCGCGAACGGCTGCTGTTGCTGCGATGAATTCAGCCTCCGCTGACGACAGGGCAACCAGCTCCTGTTTCTGTGAATTCCAGGAGATGGGGCCGCTGGGCTCGAGGCGGAAAAGGAAACCTGTCCTAGACCGTCGATTGTCAGGGTCAGCGGCGTGATCGGCGTCCACATAGCCGATGAGGTTGAAGGACGAGGTTGGGATGGTGGAGTAGCAGAGTCCGACACAGGGCGTGGAGATGAAGAACTGAAGCGCCCGCTGGAGATCTAGTAGATTCTCAGCCGTTGGTTTGCGGGAGTACTGAGCCAACTGGCTCGCGATGTAAGAAAGGTCGGGCCTGCAAGTAACAGATGCGAAGAGCAGGCATCCCAACTGCTGCTGGTAGGTGTGAAGCTCAGCAGGGGACAGGGCTTTGTTGTCAGGCTTGTGGTTGGGTCCTGGAGTGCGGAAAGGGGTGGAGAGTGGTGCAGGCGCAATGTTGAAGCGCTTGCTAAGCTCCTCTGCATACTTCGCTGCTGAGAGGTGAATGGCTTCCGGCGAGTAGGTGATGTTGAGCCCGAGAAACTGCTTCACGTCATGGTTGCAGGTGATGTCGACGCGCCCTGCGAGGTTTTTCTCAAATTGACCCTGTGTAGAGGAGGTCGTCGACGTAGACCGTGAGTAGGATGTATTCGCCGCGGAAATCGTGGCGATACATCCCAGGATCGTGAGGCAGCTGCTTGAACCCGATTTCAAGCAGTATGTTGTGCAGGTATTGCTGCCAGAGTCTCGGCGCCTGTTTGATCCCGTAAAGGGATTTCCGCAGCTGGCAGACCCGCGAATCCCCTTCGCCGTACGTGTGCGGCTGTTCCACGTAGATCACTGCATCTACGAGCGCGTACAGGAATGCATTCTTGACATCGATCTGTCGGAGCGGCAGATGTCGTGCGGCTGCGATGGCGAGGAGTATCCTGACAGAGGTGTGGCGGCTCACCGGCGCAAACGTTTGATCGAAGTCAATCCCGTGCCTCTGGTCGTAGCCGCGTACTACCCAGCGCGCCTTGAATCGTTCGATCGTTCCGTCAGATGCGGTTTTAACACGGAAGACCCACTTGCCGGAGAGGATCCTTCTTCCCTTCACTGCTGCACGGTCGACGAGCACCCAGGTGTCGCGTGACTCGAGTGCCCTGATTTCCGCATCCATTGCCTCGCGCCATTCCTTGCTGTGAGGTCCCGTGAGTGCTTGCCGTGGGTTCTTAGGCTCGATGATGCGCGGCGCCGTTGAGGTGGCAGCGTGGAGCCCGAGGAGTTGCATTCCGGTGACGGTGCTGTCGTGGCGATGCTGTGGGACGACCTCCTGTACATCATCGTCGTCGCTTTCTGGTTCTGGTGGGGCTGATGGTGCTGCTCCCCCGCCGTTTCCGCTTCCTCTTCCTCCTGTTGCGCCTCCTGCTGCGCCCGCTCCTCCTTCTCCTGAATCATCGTCGTCGTCGTCGTCATCGCGTCGATCGCCTCTCGTGAACTCGCCTCTGGGGTCCTGCTCCAGAATTGCTGCTGCAGCTTCGTCCTCAGGTGAGGCGTAGCTGTGGCCCTCGTTGGCATAGACGCGGTTTGCGTTCGCCTGCTCGTCGTCGCGAAATTGCCGAAGGAAGAGCCGCTCATAGAAGATGACGTCGCGCGCGTTCTTGATCTTCTGGCTCGAGAGGTCCAGAATGAGCCATGCTTTGTGCTCGTGGCTGATGCCGAGGTGGATCCCCCAGCGCGCGCGGCTAGCAAACTTCCCGATGGTTGATGTCGGCGGCCGGTACTGCACCATGCATCCCCATACGCGGAGCATGGATGTGTCCCCCTTCTTCCCCGTCCACTTCACGTGCGGTGAGGATTTGCCGGTGATCGCGGTGGTTGACAGCAGGTTGTGCACCCGTACGGCGTGGTGCATTGCGTGGGTCCAGTAGGTCGGCGGAAGCTTTGACTGCTTCATTAGCGCCCGCACCTTCGTCATGAGAGTACGATTCGTTCGCTCTGCTACGCCCTGCTGCTGGTGCGCATAGGGGAGAGAGATGTGGTGCTCGATCCCCTTCTGCGCGAGGTAATCCTGCAGCTCCTTGCTCCTGAACTCCGCCGCGCACGTCAGACTGCCAGATCTTCAACTTCTCCCCAGATTGCCGCTACGCGTGCGGCAGGTCCGTAGACGGTGCGTCGCGGGGTTGACGGTTCGTTCCCCCAGTCGATGGTGTCCCAAGGGTCACTTCCTGGCGGGATGTCAGGTGGGGGTAGTGCGGGTGCAGGGCGGCGCGGAGGTCGACCAAGAGGAACAACAGGAGGTTCGGCCTCAATGGCCTCCTCAATTTCTTCTTCTTCCCCCCTTTGGTCCTCGCGGAAGGCTCCCCAGCCGCTCGTCTCGCCGCCACTTGCGGCTCCCCATCCGCCGGTGTCGCCACCAGTGACTGCTCCCCATCCGCCAGTAGCGCCGCCGGTTGCGGCGCCCCATCCACCGGTATCGCCACCGGTGTCGCTCGTGCCCCATCCGCCAGCGCTTCCCCACCCCCCTTCATTGGAGGCGCTCTCTTCTTCGCCCCATCCGCTCCAGGCGAATGTTCCGCGTGACTCCGCAAGGCCCCGTCGGCGAAGTTCTTCCGCTTCGCGGCGCGCCAGTTCCTCCTCTTGAGCGACGGTGAGTTTCGTCGTAGAGTCGCGCTGATGAGGGTAGACCTCCAGGAATTTCTCCTGTGTGTAGGGTCGCGGATTTCCTTCCGCGTCGAAGGTCCCGACGCCAACACCGCGAAGCATTCCGCGAAGGTGTTGTGATGCGGGTCCTGGGAGAGGAGCTTCCTCCGTTCCGAAAACGATGCGCGTGGCTGTCTCGAGCTCCAGGTGAGACAGCCCTTCTTCAGGCGGTGCTTCCCCCTTTGCTTCGGCGATGGCGGCAAGGCCACGGCCGGCGATCGCGCTCGTCGAGGCTGTGGGCGTATGGCAATCTCTGCAGATGTCGTCGGGGTCGGGGTTATGCAGCGCCGTTTCGCGCGGGTGTGGGTGATGCGGCACCCATGGCACAGCAAGGAAATCGTCCCTACACGTGACATCCTTTTCTACGAACGACTCACCTTAACGCAGTGGATCCAGGACGAACGGCGCAACCAGGCACGCGGCTATGTCAACAGCGGCCGCAGATTCGCGACTCCAGAAGATGCAACAGTAGCAGCAGAACTGGACCGCGACGACACCGACGAACATCCCAGCATCCCCCCTCGCCCGCGCGACGACGACGACGATGACAGCGATGACAACCCCGCGCCAGGACCATCAAGGCGCCAGGCAGATCCAAGCACCGCAGCACCCGGCTACGAAAGCGGAGATGACGATGTGGTGGAAGTCCCCACCAACGCAGACACCACCAACGTGTCAGGCCTTCAACTTCTTGGCCTGCACACGTCCGTCTCTACTCTCGCGCGGGCTGTGGAGCCCAAGAATCCTCGCCAGGCTCTAACCGGCCCTCACGCCAAGGAGTGGCGTGCTGCGATGGATGCGGAGCTAAAGGCGCTGGAATCGCGCGACACCTGGGTCCTAGTCGATCGTGCAGCAGTGAAGGGGAGGAGGGTGCTAAGCGGTAAATGGGTTTTTCTGTCAGAATAGTAGCTAAGGCTAAGAAGCCATGGCTAGGTTTAGGGTACACGAAAGAGAAATGAAAGAAGAGGAGTGATTTCACTAGCAGAAGTTGGGGTACATATAGCAAACCCTAACTGGGTTGTACTCGCTATAGAGCACCCCACTACAGGCTAGATAATAACATTCTGACACACCCCCATAGCCAAAGTGGGGTGTAATCAGCACAATGAGCAGACATAGAGCAGGTTCACAAGGACAAGCAAAGCTAGAGGCATTCACAAAGGGCAAGTGAGGAGGAGGAGGCGGGATTGTAAGAGGAGAGAAGATAGAAGGCGACGGCTGAAGCTGTAGACACACGGGCAACAGGAGGACTGGCACAGTGGCTACCGAGCACACGAGGGCACCGGACTACAGGAGT